ATAGTCGATGGAAACAATATAGTATGGTGAATATGTATTCACTATATGTATAGTGAACAATATTGTATATCGATACCGAAAATATTTCTTGCACATTTGAAATTGCACATTTTATTGTACCTTTCTATGTTGTCAATTTATAAAACACTAATTTTTTTTTAATTCTTGTAGTAAATAATATTTGTATATTGCTATGTCCTCATTAGTACGACATGTGAGAATTCAAAAGTACCTTTTTGTTAATTAAAAAACTCAGGCAACAAATGATTAACGTGTTTATATTATATTAAAACTTATGAAAATTCGTAATGATTAGCTATTTAAAAATGACATTTTTCTAGTAGTAAATCATTACTTGATCCATCAGCTTATAATCGACATGACCAATAATGTTTCCACCGAGTGTACTTCATCTTCGTAAAATTCCAGTGTCCCAAGGAATTCATCAGAGCAATTAAAAAGCAAGGATCGAAAGGGAACAGGGTCAATGGACGGCAATGAAAGCAAAGAATAAATTAAACCAACAAAATAAATACAATGTATTGTTACATCACATACGCCACATGCTGATCGTGGTATATACCGACAAGGAGGAAACAGAAAAAAGAAAATCTGAGAACTCGACGTTTCTAGTGTTCCCTCGTCGACAGAACTAATACACTAAAATACAGAAAAAAAAGAAATAGAACAAAAGTGAACAAAAAGAAAAAAAAAAAGAATTTTTCAACGCGGGCATTTCAAACACAACGATGGGAGACGCGGATGATCACGTTGAAAACGGTAGCGCACGTAACTATACATTGAATTTGCACAGCCGGTAAAAACAATGTACTAGATTGAAAAATACAATGAACAAGGGTAGAACAAAATTTTCATTCGATTTCACGAAAAAATGGCGAATACGACAGAGTTCATCTTACGGTAACCATATATTGTTTCTACCGACTGTACATTCGCCTTTATACGCTTCTATACGCAAAGAAACACACACGTAATGCCCAGAACATGATATACGTGTGTACATATACATATGTACATATCTGTATAGAGTCGTTTGTAAACACACATAAGACACACGTACACAAGATACACGCGCGTATAAAGTTTCTAGAATGCGCACGAATTGTTCGCGTTTTGGTGATGGAATTTGGTTTATTTTTTTTTTTTTTGATTTTATTTTACGTTCGCTTTCGTGATTGGTAGATCATTCGTCGATCCTCCACGTAACACGAAATGTTTTACTGTGATGAAGTCCTCGAAAGACGATTGTTTCAGATGCCAGAAAGAGAAACTATAAGTTTTTCATATGATTATAAATTTACTGCAACATTCACAATCTGTTTATGGACGTAAAATAAGTTTTGCACAAATTGAACAATAATGCTATTTGAACCGTTTGAGTGTCATATAGGGTGATTTCATATCAGAGTCATCTTATGAATTTGACGGACGACAGTTTGAACCGTTCTTACTAACAATTACTGAACATAATTATTTACACTAACGATTTGACTTAGTATGTTAAATATTTTATAATAATTGACGTAATTGTGAATAATTACTTGACATTTTTTGAATGTATTTCTGCCACCACTTATGACACTCAAGCGGTTAATTTAATCGGTAATTAAATTACAACTGAAAATTACCGGTCTATTGTCTTTCGATTCGTAACACATACTAGCGTGTTGCGTTTCAAATGATCACACATTGAAAAGCACCAACGAAAACGAACGCGGTGGACGCAGAAATCTAAAATTAAGAAAAAAAAAACATAATAATAATAATAATAATAATAATAATAATAGAGAAAAAAAACAAAAAACAAGTTTTAAGAGAGAAAAAATAAACAGCAAAATAAAGTACTCTAAATCTTCTAACATTGCAAGGACGATATATATGTGTGTGTATTGGTAAAGTGTTTAAAACAAAAAAGAAAAGATTTACATAATCTAGCGGTAAATGAACAATAACAATAGCAATGGTAATTACGGCGATGATTGATGGTATGCGACGAATAGGACCACTTCGTTTCAATTCATTCAATAAACACATACAATTTATTGTACTTAACGTCATTCAAACCGTCTACACATTTGACGTATAGTTGGTATGGCTTGATTTCGCAAAATTTATTGATGTAGCATTAGGATCAGAGGTTTGAAGCAAACATAAAAACTAAATTTTTAAGGTTTTAGAGATTTTAGTACAACCCTGAAGGGTTCCATTGTATTAATATTTAATCGAGAGTTGTTCATAGGAGGAGGCTCTTTATTCACCCTACCATGGATCTGCACTCATGAACTTGTGGGGTACTCACAGACTCGATTTGCCGATTCTGTGGTAAGTACTTACAAAGTACATTGTGCATCCAAATGGGAGGAGGAAGGGTCGTTATGTTTAGTGAAAGCTTCATGAAAACCTCTGCGGTTTAACTCTCTCACGCACTACATTCATATGTAGTGAAGAGTATAATTGAACTAGTAAAACATTTTTCCCAAAAATTATTATTCATTTATCAATGCGGTTAGTACTGCTGATGTTTTTTAACTATTCACTGCACGATGTGTTAAATATAATTTGTGACAATCTATTTTAGCAATTAAATAATTTGAAAATGTAATATTACAATTAGCAAACTGAAGTTAAACATTAATCATTTTTTAAGCTGGAATATATGCAAAATTATGTATCTGTAAATTTTTTTTTATTTCATATTAACATGTACATTAACAATAATTTTTGGGGAAAACAGTGTTATTCGTTGTTTCACTCTTCACTGTATATAAATGGTAACAATTTTTTATACTTTTGGTTAACATACCTAGATGTTTCTACCAACTATACTTCACGTTCGATTGAATGTTTTGAAATATAATACGTAACCAGTATCGCCACTTGTATATTATAATATACAATTATAGAATTATAAAAATAATTATTTTAAGTACATTAACAAGTGATCCCTTCGCCTGTTCGAACTTTGGAGTTTGGTAAAAATCGACAGAAATTTGATATTGCACTGCAACTGAAAATCAATCGCTTAGCTTCATAATGATCGTCTAACATTGATATCGACAAAAGTAATGTACGAATAATCGTAAACACCATCTCTACAAAGTGCGAATTATAATAATAGAAGATATAAAAGTAGTAATAATAATAATAATAAAGTTTTACAATATAACGATACCACCAAGAATCATATCGATAATAATAATAATAATTAGGTCATATAATATTAATAATCTATCAACATTGATAGTGAATAAATTGTAATAATAATAATAAGGGTAACGATGGTAAATTGGTAAAGTGGGATAATTAACAGCGTAAATAATTATAACACGATGACGGTGCAAACGTAGCAGCACTTTTTCAACAACGAAATTAAACGCACGTGCTTAAGAGGATGTATTTGAAAAATGAACATTAAAATGTTGATAATATTAATTCGTAAATGTTACTTCTGACTAGGCTCCATTTGTATTCACGTACAAAAAAAGACTTAAGAACGTGTTACGTGTATTACATCCTCGCACAAAATGTTAATCGTTGATTAACGGCTGAACGTGTGTACGAAAGAATTATTATAGCCGTAAATGATGCGTAAGTACATCGATTAATTAAAAAGACGTCTTTGGTAATTGGCACGGAGCTGGACGCAGCAGCATCGTTACAGGATGATCCATTACAGTTGAAACTTTCCACATTTATAAAATAAAATTTTATATAAAATCATCTAAAGACAAATTAATTTTAGGGATGTTGAAATGATTTTCATTTATCATTGTCCCTACAAATTACGAAATTACGATGTTTATTTTGTCAAACCTATAACCAACTTCGAATCTAATAAAATGCTCCAATCAACTTTTTCATTAAAAAGTCCATTAAACATAAAATTTTTATTAATTTTAACAATCACTGATAACTAATCGATAACTGTTTCGAAAAGAATGATCATTAATAAAAAAAATCATGTCACTATTCCGTTCAACTTCTTTTTTGAACCATCCTGTATAATTTACCACTTTCCTACATAAACCCATATAATATTAAACGTCCGTTGCTCCGCTCATTTGGTTTGACGCGTGATTGCAAATTATTTGCGTTAGTTTTCAATACATCTGCAGGTTTCCGAGGGATTTAGTGAAATAGACTATACAAGGAGCTATGACTATTAATTGTAATTGCAACAAACCCTTTAACAACGAAGGAGAAAAGGGAGACGTCGAAAGGAGGGAAATGAGTGCTTAGAAAGAGAGCCAGCCGTGAACATCCAAAACACTCCCGCTGTTTCTACGTTCGATGGTTAAGAAATAACTGTTTAATTGTATCATTAAGACAAATATTGTACGAAAATATATTCGTCATATATTTAGAAATACGAATCTTTCTACTGCAACCCAACGTATACTTTTTAACAGTTGTTCGTTTTGCTTTCCTCTGTTGTAGAAGTCAACAAATTGTTCCGATATAAAAAATAACTCGATTATATTTCGCAAAAGAATTTGTCTTTTTGATACACTTAAAACATGTTTTATGATTCGAAACTGAAATACTCTCTGAATTCTTCTACTTCGTTTTTTTTCTTCCTCTTACGCTTTTACCCTTCTGGTTGAAGAGTGCGCCGTTAATATTAAGGCTATTTTCAGCCATTTCTTTGTAAATAATATACAGATATCGGGATACTTGAACGTCCGATATGCACTGGCAATATTAAAAATGTAAGGAACATGTAGAGACTGGATTAAATTCTTTTTTCCAAATTACCAGCAATCGTTTCTGGACTTTCCATATTTTACTATGGACTTAAGTACCTACAGCGACATTGGTGAGTTAATCTTGCATCAGTAACGGCGATCGATAACTGCCATCCAATACATTAAACATTAAATCTTCTTAGATTCGATTAAAATCCTTCGCGCTGCCGATAAAATGATCTTCTTTATAACTAGCTAATAAAAACTTAAACGCTACACAGACAAAGAACAATGTTAATGTAGAACAAACAGGTTAATATATTTTCTCACACATTTTCGTAAAATCGTTGTATTCGTCGGATACAGCGCAACAGAAGTTGTTACTGACTCAAGATTAATTCGTGGCAATTAAACGCTCGCGTTTAAATCCCCATATTTTTGGCGATCAAAATGTTTTCCTTCAATTTTTTCCAGTTTCTTCTCTCATCATAGACAAAAAGTACAGTGTACCACAGTTTTTCTTTTTTTCTCACAAATATACATTCGTCTAAGTTCGAACACAATAGAGATCATAAAACACGTACGAATCGTAAGTACCTACTTGGTACAGACGAAGATAGAGAAAAAAAAAGAAAGGAAAGGAAAAGAACGATCGCGTGCACGCTAGTGAAATGTCACTGATGAAAATTTTCGGTTCTCTTTTTAGTTTGGAATTCTCCACCGTTAAGTTTCTCATGCCACGCTTACTTTATCATACACACTTTAAAAAGCGATCCTAGTCCAAATCCTATGTACGGTACAATGTTATCACAAAGTCATTAAAAAATGCTATTTATGTATCATTTCCTCTACTCTTCTTTTGTTTCCTTGCTCCAGTTGTGTCTTTTTTTTTGTTTATTTTTGGTTCTTTTTTTTGGTAATCTTTACAAGGTAAACCGGACTTGACTGATTTACCGTGTTTTTTCTTCCAACGCGTTTCGATTCAGCGGTTTCTTGCTAGGTTTTCGCATTGTTTCCCTAAGCTTTCTCTATTATATAATCAGCACATCAGTAGTGCGTCTTTTATCTACATATGAACAGGCGCTTCGCGACGCTGACAGCGATCCCGAAAGTGAGCCGATAAAATCGATTCTCAGTCGATATTCAAAACAGTGTTCTCAATATAATACAAGGTACATACCGTTCCGTTTCACAAAACGAGCATACATTTGTCCATTTTTAACGGCTAGTTAGTGATTGTACGCAAACATTTCTTACACTAAAGGTTCACGGAGAATTCGTTGAGATCTAAAACCGACACGTGTTCTCTTTATCCATTTATTCGTATTAATTGCACAGTAGATTTAACGTTGATAAATTACCATTACGAACTGCTTTTAACTTTATCAGTTTTAGATCTCAACGCTCGCGTGCATACGCACATTTTCGTACATACACATGCACGGTTAATATGAGTATGCGTATGTCTGCAAATACTATACAAGGTGTTTCACGAATCTGGGTCAAACTGCAGTTCTGAAATTTATAGAGAATGGGCAAACATTTTACTAAGCAAAATTAAATTCCAACGTACCCAATTCGGAAGCGACCTTCAAACGAATTTAGAGCCATTTCTATCCTCTTTAATGAAACAGTACATTATTTCACATACGTACAGAATTTGCATGTACATGAAATTGTGTACAGTTTATTATTCTTTAAAATCGTTTAATTTTGCCTAATAACATTGCTATCTCTCAAACCACAATTTGGGTTAGATACGTGTAACATCTTGCATACACGCATAATAGCACGCACGCGTGCATGCGCACACACACAGACACAGTGCTTGATCGGCGGTGCTTCCGCTTCGCTACTCTTTACACCCGATTTTGAACAATGACTGTCGTTTCTTGATATCTCGTTAACGCGAGATCAAGCATTACTTTTCCCACGACGATTCCTCAATCCGTCTCGTGCACCTCGATTAATTTCTCATTGACTTGGTCCAGAGTAAGCTGCCCGATGATCATCTTCTCTACTGTTTTATTACACAGAGCAGCTGTTCAGAGTGGGTGGCGCAATGACACCCACGATCGACAATCGGTGCCATCTATTCAGGTTAAATGGAACAGACCAAGCACAGTGGCAACCGGTACATGGTAGCGGTGCTCGAGTACGTGAAATAAATTGTGGAGGTAGCTCGTAGGTGGATGGATTCGTTCAAGGAGTTTCTACCGGATGGTCGTGTAGGAAAAGAAGGTGTCATGTGGTGTATAATTTTGTTGGGAGTAGAATAGGTGTCCGCTTCTTGCGAGAGGAGCGAGAGCGGGCAGATGTGTACAGGCACCGACAGACATAGAATGACTGATCAAGAGGCTGACCAAAGGAGTCGTGACTGATCGACAGATGGACTTGATCGACTGATCGATCGATTGAACGATTGGTCAATTCAACTGACTGAGACTGACATGGCACGGCGACTCCGATCGAGAACACGGTCACAACGTCACAGGCCACCTGCTGGCACACAAACAAACACACGGACAGGTTAGTCACCACCACACACCAGATATATAGGATTCCCCGGGCAAACGTGCACGGTGACCATTGGAACCTTTTCAAAATTGTCAGATTTTTCTAACAGCGCCACTGTTTTACATGATTTTCTTGCTTTCTTTTTCTTACGATCTCGACAATACTCGAAGTAGAATTGACAACGTGTTTGAAACTACGGATTACAGAGTCAGGAAGTTACGGGAGTGGGTTTCAACAGAGATACAGAATATTACACAATAAAGTCACCGTGCAACGTGTACACAGGTACTGTTCAGAGCTGGGAAGAATGAACGTGAATCTAGTTGGTTGTAACCTCAACGACTACAACGGACTTTCGGTCGAATCGTATTATTGGCCGAAGTAGTCATTGCTTATTAGATCAAGTGGCAGGAGAGCGTTAATGGTGGGAATAGGAGGAGCCACGCACAATCTTTCCAGCTTTGAACAGTAGTTTGCCGATACGTCGTTTTAAGATAGAAACGACAAGGATCTGTTTGATTCTGCCAAAGACTAAATTCTACAGATTAGAAAATAATTACAGATAGGATTATATTTGTATTTCACTGATCCTCGTTGTTTCTTTCACACCATTGTGATTCATCGATAAATAAATAAGTGACTAATAAGAGAGTTCTGAACGTTTTACGAAAAACTGATCGATGAAACACGTTCGAAAATGGTGGTGTTCGACGGTCGGCGACATCCCAGAAAAAAAAGAACACATGGCGATGTTAGTACTAACAACTAATAAAGCGTCATAGCGTAAATTAACCATCAAACTTTGAGATATTATTATCACGATAGAACGTTCCAAGTTCTGTGCCCTGTACAGTAAAGACGAGGGACCAACTCGCGTGACTGCGTAAATCATAAATGGTGATGTAATTATAATAAAATAAATTAGTGAGGTAGATTGTTGTGGTATCATTGCCACCTGCCTGTAAGACAGTGCACAATGCAATCGACGAAGTTCATGTTAACTGAAAGAATATAAATATCTATGTATATATTATAACGTACACGTGTGTATAAATATATTAAAGGAACAAGAAAAGAGAAGCAAATCATAGAAAAAACAACAACAGAAAACATAGTTTAGTTAACGTACGACTTACGTTGCGTGAAAAATTCAAAGCGAACTACTTGTACTCTTATCCTCAAGTAAAGCTACTGTAAATGTTAGTGAAACTTCACGTACGTAATTCCATTTTGTGCACAAAAGTTAGCACAGAAAGCTTGATTGGCAGCCGTTCGCAACGAAATGATTCTTTCATTATACCAATGACGCGAAGAAGGGGCAGAGCGGTGAAGGGCTAAACAGCAGGCTTGTACCTTCGTATATCGAAGTAATAATACTGATAAATCAGCGATTAAATACAAATGTATTCTGTCAGAGCCCTGTTCGTGCTTCTAAGAAAACAAAATGCTTGTCTTGAAATACCGCACACGAAGAAATACATTTTCTTTTCACTAATTATGTTTGACTTTGTTTATAACTTTATCTTTAACTAGCTTATGCTAAGTTACACCGTCAGCGGTGCACCCTACAATCTTTATTCCATCAGCAGTACACCGAGAGTTTATAAGATATGTACATTATTTGGCGATGATTATATAAAATTATTTGTCTACTATTGAGACTTTTACTATAGTAGATTGTTATTGTATATAATATAAAACTTTCTTTTATTTTTTGATTTGTTAGCATCAACTTGTAAACTTGTTATTAGTCAAAGTGTAAATTAATTTTTTTCTTAGGAGATAAACTAAGTAGTTCCCTATTCTATTTACAAAATATAAACAGCGATACAAGTATCATTTAGCAGTATTTATACATGATTCAGAGATGACACTTCCAAATAAAAGAGATTCACTTCTACAGTTTATTTTTGCAAACTATTGATATGTTTTTAATCATTAGTCATTTAAAATTAATTTCACTGAATTCAGGATAAAGCGTTATTTGTCACTTCCTCATTAATAAGATTCATTAAATTAAATTTAGCGGAATTTCATTGAATTAAAATCGCTCTACAACTTGAAAGTATTGAAATCAGATTATTACTCTGACAATGATACTCTCTATTTGAAAGTTGACTTTTTTATTTCTTTACAACATTACATTTCTTAACAACACTAAAATTAGTGTTGCATCAATAGTCATAAAACATGCAATTCGTAGAAAAAAGTTTTCTTCGTGTACAGAAATCAACGACAACATCGTTTAGAGACGATTACCCAAAAAAATTAACAACATATTAAAAACATTCTCAACAATCTGTATGTTAATTGAGTACACGTACTGCAACATTTGCACTGATGTTTCAGAAAGCCTCAAAAGAACAGAAAGAAAGCTAAAAACGTGATCACTGTAGTGTCTATAATTGAAAAGAAACGAGGCAGTTGAGAGAGTCATCATCGAATACTTATAATGTTTTATTTGTGACGAGTGAGGTTTTGAGCTCGAAGAACAATAACACGTCAATAACACGTACGTTATCACGAGATACAGGTACAATGAGACACGAAGAGAACGTAGGTAAACTTTTAGGTACAAAAATACCAGAATATGGACGGACTAACAGACAGAAAAGATGAAAGAAAGATATATAATCTCAAGGAACGGTAATGCGGTGTCCTTTAAGAACAACCATGACGATAATATAAGTCTTCAACAATATCACAGCCTTGTTTCGGAAGAGTTTTAACATAAACGTTTAACGAGCATACGATAAGGATACCAATGTTTCTTTAATGTCCAAAGGAAACAAGTGTCTCTATCGAATTCCTCCACATGGAAAATACTGTTTAAGTAGAAATTGTTCTTGGAAGCAATGCCCACGAGGCATTTACGACGAACGAAACGAATAACCTAACCTAACCTAACCTAACCTAACCTATCTATTCAGTTCACGACTTCTCGAGTACGTGAACATGGGTTTTTGATTAAGGACACCAAGGTTGTTGAATCTGATCCGTGGTATCCAAGAAGTCCTTGGTATCTACCTACGAAAGGTGGGCGAGGTCGGCTAATAGGGTTTCGACGCATCCTTGGATCGTTTCAGCTGGACCTTCAGACGCTTCATGCCGATTTGGAAGCCGTTCATTGCCTGGATCGCTGCTTGCGCACTCGCCGCGTTGTCGTACGACACGAAACCTGTCAATAATTTACAATCATTTCGTAAAATATTCATTAAAAATGTACCTTGTTGTTTACTATTCTAACTTTGAGTACCAACGTTGTTTTACATTAAATTTTACTAACTATTCCTTATAGTATTTCATAAAATTATTTATTATAAAATAAGTTAATATGTATCTCATGAAATGAGTGATTAGTTCAAGCTTAAATTGTGTATCAGATATGGGTGACATGGCGATCATCGTAAACTTGTAATCTAAATACATAGCGATGTGGTACTTCAAAAAGCCGTTGCTGAGATATGACTAAAATTATAGAAAATTCAGTAATTATATAAAAGTGGTACATTTCAATGATCTTAAATATGTATATCGTCAAACATTTTGAGTTAACCAATACCTACAATCACTGTTAGGTCTTAGCTTTAGAGATACTCTAAAACGCGTCTGACCAAAGAAACTAATACAAAGCTTAGGAAATGCCCATCATAATGGATATTTCCCGAAAGATTGCCAATGGAGATACAAGTGACGTGGCATCTTACCAAAGCATTTGCTCAACTGCGTCTGTTTATCGATGAAGACCTTGGCGGAAATAACGTTCCCGAATGGTAGAAACGTTGTGACCAGGTCAGTATCGCTAAACTGCTGCGGTAGATGATAGATAAACAGGTTGCAGCCCTCGGGACCCTCTATCTGCTTGTCGGTGTTCGTGAATTTCGCCTTTTGCGCTGCCGCTGCAGCCGCAGCTGCTGCTGCCGTGAACGCTGGGAACCCTGGCAACACGAGATTTGTCATCGTAAATTCCGTGTCCCTTTTCAGCGGATCTACGCACTGCTTGTTCGCATCCCACGAGATTCGCATTTCAAATAGCTCGACACTCGACGATCAAACAATTCTCTACAGTATGTTCAGTTTAAATACATACACTTAATTACATTCGGAAGAGAAAAAACAGAGGAATTGAACCTAGTTTTGAGGTGCAGGTGTGCTTTAAAACCAAACTGTCCACGATGGGTACAGACTGCTGTAACTGTTCAATAAATTCAAAAATGCTTTTTGTTATGAAGAAATCGCACCTTGAACTTAAGTACTTAATACTTGTTGTTTTGCAACCTTCTTGCGACTCTTAATTGTGATTCTTATATAGAATATGTTGCATTTAATTATTTTTTATTACTTTCCTCTGGGTATCAGAATTAATGTTGATTAATAAAATGTTTGGCATGATTTAATAATATCACTTACATATGGTATATCAATTTGGAACTAACAGTTTAATAAACATGCAAAATTAATAATTTTTCAGTAAAACAAGTAATCTAAATAATTTATACTTTCTACTGTTGGTACGATATGAAGAATATCTCATTCCTATTTGTTCATATATGAGATGGTTAGAAAATAGTATAATTCGAGTATTGCGCATTTTTTATTAAATAAATTAAAATAACTTTAATATTAATCTTTGGAAAGTTAATTCGATAGTAGAAGATACTAGGTGTAAATGGGTTAATCCACTATTTGTTTAAAGAAAGTCATTTTATATTATGAGTAGTGAAGAAATGAGACCATCTTTAAATTTTATGTTTTCCACATTCACATATCATGAATTCTAGTTTAAGGTACTTTTATCAGATTGTATTAAAGTTTTCATGTTCCTATAAAATTTCAAAGAATTCTTTCTGTGAAATCGGTAATCTGTTACATGATTTATTTTGCTTTTATGTTTTCAGCTAATGGTCGTTTAAATAAAAATAGTTCATTGAAATGGGTAAATGATATGAAAGAGTCGAATTTTATTTTACCGAATTAAATTTATGTAATTTTTAATTACATAAAAAGTATAAAAGCAGTATTGGCCATAAAAGCCTCTGTTCCTTACGCTGTTGATTGTCACCACGTCACGCTCATACCTGCGACGCTTACAATAATTATTCAGAAATCAATTAACGGCACATGAAGAGGTATAAAATGTCTAAAATATTGTAAAAGATTGTAGAAATAATGATATTTTTAATAAAAATGCTGATTGCCCCTCTTCACAGGAGGTGATGTTAAATGATATATCTAATAAACATTGCAACAAACAACAAATTCCAAAAATCACGTATCCTCTATTTTTGTCCATAGTTTACGTACACGAAGTTGTAAAAAAATAGATTAACATTTAGTGCAAAAATTTAAACAAAAATTATAAATTTTCAAAATATTAATTAAACAAATAAAGTTTATTGAAATTTTTTTAAGCACAAAAATTGCCTATTAAAAGACCAACAATTTACAAAAAAAGAATCCAATTATCTTCTTTAATTCCGGAGATATTCCCAAAAATATAATTTCCATCCAACTTCGAGGGCTATTTTCACCGCTTCAATATGCACAGCTGCCGATAAAAAAAAATACGTGTCAAATATGTTTTTGAGAACTATATCTCACATAAGTTTCATCAAAATCGGCGTGTCGGGGTTGGATATGTTTCCTTGTCAGTCATATAAATAAATAAAAATACGATGTTGTGCAGACAATAATTATCTTCAAACATAATCATTTTTATATTTTAAATAATAATAAATAATATATAACGAAATAAATAATGATCATGATATTTTAAAAATAATTATAATAATTAATAAAGTTATGTACAAATAATAAAAAATCGAAATTATTTTGTTAAAATATTAATACCATTTATGTTTTTCTAATTCAAATAAATTCGCAAGCAATGAAGTGTATATATTTAATTATAACATACTGTAAGAACGTAATACGGAATTTTTCGTTTGCAAGCAATACTTACGAACAATTTTATTCAATTTTACTACTTGCCGATTACAGTTCGATAAACACGAGTTACTCGTTTTTCCTCTTTTTTTCTGCGTATGTCGTGAGCTGGTATTGTACACACAGTGGCGGTCATAAACTTACGCATAATATAAATTTTAAGTCTGCCTATTCCCAGATTATAATAATAGTAAATTCTGATATTAATGATTATTGGACGGTAACGTTTTTTCAACGACATATCGTTCAAATGAAATTTTACTGGATGCTTATTTAAATGGTTTTTATACTCATATGCAAGTGTATTACAGTAAAAAAAATACTCAATAAATTTGCATAACATTTCAAACGTCTACCAAATTAGTAATATAATAATTTGAATTTGGAAAGTTCATAAAATACGTGAATTACTGTTTAAGCGCAAGAATTTTCATTTCTTCTACCAAAAAAATATTTGCGGAGGTGCCAAAGTGAAACGATTTTCAGATTCGTATTCAGCGCACAAAATGTACAAGAAACGTCAATCGAATAGACGTTGAGAAAGTAAGAATGTTTCAATTTATTCAGTCTTGTCACTTTCCATATGATATATGTCTGGAAAGGGTTAAATTGTCGACGAATCTCAACCTTATACAACATACTGGTGATAAATAGAGTTCATGTTTCTTTTTTATACAAAAAGACAGTTGTTAAAGGTAGATGTAATATTCAAATTTTATTTAGAAAAGTAAATTTCAACATTTCAATATAATAAAGAAGATTATAATGATCTATATATTGTACAATCCTTTTTAACTGATTCGTATGATTCTATTATATGTATTTTATTTTAATTCCAATTGGTTATATTATAATTCTCTTTTCCATTAAGAATTAATCTCAAATAATTTAATCGGAAATATTTTACAAAATACTATATGTAAGTATAGGTTGTACGAATATAAAATTAATGGATTGTTCACATTTATTTCGAAATTAGTTGCTGTTTATTTAATATTTTCTACATTATACTAAATTATAATACAACATTTAATTGTTCATTATTATCAATTATTGACTTTTAAAACATGAGACATTTCATCCATAACATCGTCATAATTTCAATGAAAGCTCATAAGGGTTAATTTAACAAAAAATATATTAGCAAGAAATAAAATTTTAACTTTTTTTTAACAGAAACGTATATTTTCCTGTGCAGTAAAAGTGCACAAGAATGCATCAATTAAAATTAATAATTTTAGATACCGAATGAAATTTGCAATTAATTTGTTTTCAAATCCTACAGATTTTTTATTTATCCTAAATTTTTTAATTTCATAAGTGCACGATTTCTTCGAATAAAGACAGTAATTTATTACATCGAACTTGGTTATTTATCCTTTTTATAGCCATTGTATTCCGAGCTGGTCCGAGATAAAGCACGTAAGCATATGACCCCACTGTTGCACATTCGAATGCTTGGTTACGTGCAAACAGTACAACAGAATGCAATCCTGCGACACTGTACAATTACTAAAGATTCAGGCATTCCACTTCGTGTTTAGTTACTCACTATGTAATTCTTTCTTTTCCACGGTCACCGTCGTCTTTCCAATGAGAGCTTTAAGGCGCACAGTTACTCGTTAGAACACTTTTTACCAACCATGTGCAAGTAAACAATTACCATTTTGCCATTTTATATCAGGTACATCCTGATCGGAAGTGATTGGCTTCGTCAATCGGGACACTTACCTGCGTACTGTTGCAAGCTGGAGTAGGCGTTGCTCAGAGAGTCCTGTAATCCGTTTAAAGGTGTTCCCGTTAGGGAATTGAGCGCAAGGGACGTCACAGGACTGAGGCTACCTCCAGTGGACCCTTTAAAATTGAAACGAATACAATCAATATTTTTCTGCATTGAACAATTCTATGTACTTCTACAATTTTAGCCAAGATTGATCTTTCGATTTTTTGATTCTTTAATTGACATGCCTCATGCTATGACATGACAACAAGAAAAAAGGCAAAAAATAACTTTTGCTACCGGTTAGAAAACTCTTTATGTAATTGTTAATGGTGTGGTAGCAAAACCAAAAGCACCTTGTCAATTGTTTATAGAAATATGTGTCTTCCAAATCTGTGAGTACAGTTACTTACTTTTCAAAATTTAATTAAAGTTACTTCAAAGCTTGATCATAAATCATATTTTATTCATAAACTTAGGATCCATGACCAATGATCAGGTTTTAAAATAACCTTGACTACATTTTGAAAAATACATAACAATGAGTGCTGAGGTTTTGGAAGACGTCCATAGTCTGTGAAATAATATCGTGCAGAAGCGATTTAGCACTAAATACCGCTTTTAATTTAAATTTAATTTTTCTTGATGATATAGTGAGGTCATCATTTAAAAATGCGATTTTCGCAATAAAAGAATGCTAAGTGCTATTTTTTGATGAACTACATTTATTTATATTTGATTCAACTTGGATAAATTTCATTTTTGTGAAAAAGGAATTAAAAGCTTTATTCATACATTAAAATCACCATATAACTTAACATAACAATTTCATAACTCTGAAAGTACTAAAAAATTGATGTAAGCTCAGTCTTAATTGTTTAAGCTCGAAATATTATTGAAGTGAAAATATTTTTTTAAAAGAAAACAGAAAATTTTCTTGAATAACAATTTGTAATGCGTATGCGCTATATGTACCACGCGCATGCGCATTGCACGTCTACATTATTTCTTTCAAATTATCCCGCTTCAACTTCTGTACGAAATATTTCGAATTCTTTTATAATAAAAAGAATTTCATGTAATATCACTGTTCAACGTTAATCGTAAAAAGCAAATATGTATACTATGTAACGTTATAATTGGACAGCAAATATTTACGCAACCACACGTTATTATGACATATTTTCTCTGATCTGGCGATTGAAAATACTTTAATTCGCAGAATTTGCTTATTTTGCATATTATAAACAATTTATTTCAATTTCTCGCACGTATTATAAAGTTTACGTATTTTTAGCACGATTTAGTATATTATAAATGCATCCAAATCCGCTGTCGAGTTATAATACATTTGCGGAAGTTTGATCCGCCCGTATTTAGTTTTATCACAAGTTTCACGAACAGAGTGTTTCAAAACAAGAGCTATGTTGGTCGATATGCATTTTAGATTAAATTTTCGATTAAAAAATGTTCTTATAATCGGATATTCTATAACATATTTTGTGCAATTGAACAACTCTTATTTGAAATACTCCGTGTTAAACAATTTTCGCATTAATATGTAAGCACAGCTAATATTAAAACTAAAAATCAATTAGTAATTAGTGATAACGGAACTACAATAAATTGTAATTATTAATAGAATCGTTTTAAACACAATATTCCATGACAATCGTGTTTCATCAACGGTTTTATTCAGAAGCGGTATAACACGGAGCTCACCGAAACGAATACATATACGCGATCGAAGTTGCTTTAACAACCCGATCCATCGATATCATGAAACAGCACACACGAATTAAAGCTTAATTAAAACACACTGAACAAATATCGGGTGAGCTTCGTTCTGTCGTGACTACAAATCGAATTAGCAATGAAGATGTACAGGGAGCAGGAACGAATATAGCAAAAAATGACGCGAAAATGGAAAGGAAAGTCCAACGTGGAGGAAGAAGTGTTCTTACCTGTGTTTCCGGTTTTTCCAAGAAGGACAGCTACGCACGGAAAGACGTATACGTTAAAGTGCGTTCTCATGAAAGAAAAGAAACAAAAAAGTGCACGGTTCTTGACCAAACTATGTCGGACAAATTTCATTAAACGGCGATCATAAAATAATAAAAAGGAAATCGTGACGCGTAACGAGGCGAGTAAAGAGCATCTCGTTTGAACGTATTGAACGAACTTTATAACGACGTAACTTCATAAATTTTCGAGCATTCAATCTCGCACGTTAATTAATTTCATTGAAACGGTTATTTTGCTACTCTTTGGTGGAAATAATCGTCTAGTATGCCGACGAACGCGACGGACCCGGCGATATTGAAATCAGAATGCTTCAAAGTGAAAAGGGAAGCGAAATGAGAGGAAAATATAGATATAGAGCGTACACGTTAGTGTGAGTGCATCATTCAGAAATGTATCTGTACGAGGACAACCACTAGTAAAAATATATGTACTAAAGCGTTCCGAACGTTTATAATAAATTTAATAATTATTTACTATACCCGTAATCAAATTTGGCTTGCGTTGACAGATATTAATCTACCTAATTTTCGCTGTTATTAATAAGAGCTTAAACCAAGATGGAATCACATTTATAGCTTAAGACCGATTGGGAATCCTTTCTTAACCACTTCAATCTAATTTTCGAATATCGGGTTAGAAAACATAATCTCCATTTAATTATAGGTTCATTTTCATTTTATAAATTTTAGAGGGAGCAAGGTTCATAAGGTTGAAAACTAACAAGGAAACTTCGCAACTCTCGGAGCACCGATTTCATTCAAACTTTGCACAATTACAGAGGACACCGAAAGTAATAATTTTACAAAATTATAACGCAGAATTCACAAAAATAAAGAAGAAATTTATATTCAAAATGCGTTTATTTATATTTAGCTCTTTGGGAAATTAATTAAAAAATGATTTTACACTCTAACAGAAAAAATGGAATAAGAAATATTTATGTACTTTAAGTTTTCTATAAAATAAAAGCGAGTTTATTCCTTTTATTTTTCTCTATATTTTCTTGAAGCAATATTCATCGATAGACAATTTAAACAGATAAATTTTATTTTATTTAATTTTCCTTGTTACAGTTAAAAAAGATGGATTTTTCAATTAGTTTTATTGAAAAATGAAGAATAAAAAAAAAGTATGCAGCTTCTGGGAGCATTGAAGTCGTAACCTTCAGTTTTATAAACTTAGCGCTTTTCTACTAGATTATAGCATTTTCTTTATTTAATACTATTCTGAAACAGTTCAATATGAATTACAAAAAGTTTAGACGTAAATTTCTCTTTTATTTTGGAGAATTGTGTAATGTAGTTCTATAGAATTATTACTTTTGGTATTTTTTATAATTGTGAAAAGTGTAAATAAAATGGGTATTTCAAAGATTACGAAGTCCTTCTGTAAATTTAAAATTTGAATGTAAATTAGCCTTAGGAGTTGAACACATCAAATTTGACAACAAAATAAAAAAAATAATAAAATGTAAATTTAAAATATAAAGTCGTCCTCATACATATGCCTCTAACAATGCACTCGGATGTGAATTCAGTATTCACCTTACAAGGAGAGCTTCTTAACTGACATTTTAATAAATTTTGTATTTTATAGATCACGTAATTATGAATCTTCCCATATTTAGTGTTTAAAGTTTCACAAGGGTTGATTTATTCATTGTACCAATTTATGTAAGTAACGTGCAGAAATTGGCTGCTTCCTTTTTAAGAAGACAGTTTTGAGAAGTAGTAATAAGATAATCTTTTTTATGTATTATAATATTGAATAAGTGATTCTTGCAGATTTTCTTGTACTGATTACGAGTTTGTAAATCATTCATTACTTCCCATCATAAGTTTAAGATTCCATAGTTTGAAACATATTCAGAATTAAATATATTTTATCGACTCATATTCCAATACTTTTTGCTCAGTTTTCCAAAGAATCCATTCACGTAGAAAGGAATATACGATCCCATTTAAAAAAGTGAAAAGTCAAAATTTTCTAAATTCCATATTATACGATGCTTTATTTCAGACTATTTGACTTTGTTTAACAAAATTTTGTTTTATTTTTTACTGTCTAAAATTTACAGCTTGGTTCAGTTACGCATTTAGAATATTTTATATAGGAAGATTTGTAATAATATGATCTATGAATATATCAAAAAGCTTGTTAACACGTTCAATTTTAGGATAACAGATACAGTTTGTCTATGATAAAGCGTGGCTGTAAATAAAACCATTGGAAAATTTGATTTAATTTTAATAACACGATGCGTATTTCAGAGTTCCTAATATATCACATAGAATTCATTGGCAATTCGTGAAATATTTCTGTGCGTGAACTGGAAATGGTGTTTCATTTCCTCCTTTCGTTTTCCGGAAACGATTTTCGTGTTCTTGTACGCTTGAACGATTTTACGATCACTTAATTATAAAGTATAGCAGAAATGTCATCACAAGATGATAAACTTGTGGAACTCGACGAACGGGTAGAACTTTAATATATCGAATCGTAGTAAAAACAAATTGTAAAACCAGTTATATGTTGAATTTTATAGTTTAGATAATATTTTAAAAACTAAAATGGTAAAGGTCCCGAAATAGACTGGCACGTACAGGGAAATGTTAATGGGAGTAAATTTGTCAATGTACTTTATGCAATATATTAAAATGGAACTTTGAGACTGCAGACGATCAAAGTATTGTCAATATTTCAGGATTCTTATGACTAATATGTACTGCCTAAATAATATTGGCAACTTTCAGTCAATAAATCTTAATAAAACGATTTTCAATTTTCAATTTTCAAATTCACACCTTCCGAAGGTATTAATTTTTCATAACTTCAAGTTACGAAATTCTTCAATTTATAAATTTAAAAATTCATAAATTTTGAAAAGTTACCAAATTGTTGATTGAATGTGTAAACCAAGCTAGCAAACTGCCAAATTCTTAGTTAGAAAATATTTACTACTACCTACAAATACAACTATTACCTTTTCTACTTTTCAAATTTTTAATACTTCAAAGTTTCAAATTTTCTAATTTTCAAGTTATGAAACATTCAAATTTACAAGTTACTAAATCGTCAATTTTTTACAGTTATTAATTCTAAAATTCACGAGCTACCAAATATCCGTGACTCTAAATTACCAAATTTTCTAATCTCAAAATTTCTAAATTATTGAATCTTGAATTTAAAAATCTCCAAAATATTCAAAAATTCTTAAATTTCGAAACTGTGATATTTTCGAAGTGTTTAATTACCAAATGTACAAATTCATTAATTTTCATATTTTCATATTTTCGAATCTCCAAAATATCGAATTTTCAAATTACAAAATTTCTAAACTAATTTATCAAATTTTCAAAATCAAGCAATTCCAAATTTCTAAATTTATATATTTTTTATTTTCCATTATTCATATTTTGACCGTGTTTTTAGATTCACCATCAATTGAAAACCCAGAAATATTAACAATATATATTGATTATCTGAATTTTCCATAAATCAGTACAGGGTATCCTAAATTTTGAACATCAAACTTTACTAACACAATGAATGTGTAAAAATAACAAGAAGATGTTACCTTAACATGGTATTTTAAACATTTTATTAAAAAGTTACAACAAATGCACAAAATGACTTCCAACTGCTCTGTTCTTCGATGACATATAGCGTGTCTATGTAAGTTCTATAAATAAGAGTGATAAAAAATGTTATCTAAATATAAGTTCTCAAATATTTTATTGCAAGATTGTAAAAATTATGCAAAATAATGAACGAATTTCTCCTTCGGTACTACATACAAATAACTGTCGATTTTCATATATTTAGCAGCTTTCAGTAACACATTCAAGAGCCTATGTTCATATAAACACTTTTTCTCATTTTTATTCATAGAATACGCTAGCAAAGTTATGTGGACAAGATTGGAACACCTTCTATGTGATATCTAAGAACAAAGCAGTCCGTTTTTAATCAAGTATTTCAAATGTTCTAATAAAGTGTTTAAAAGTCTATGTTGATTTAACATCCTCTTCTTATTTGCATAAGTAGAATATGTTAATAAAGTTTAATGAAAAAACTGGGGTATTTGGCGAGACCGATCTCGTTATATCTCAGTCAAGAAAATTGAATAACCCTGTTATCTTTCAATCGGCATAGCTTTGAAGTGTATCCCGGATCGACGTGTTCAAAATTCCCGCCTTTTGCATGTGGATATAATTACCCGAGCTGGGCGCGAACGTGTTAAAAATTGAGTCAGTTAATCGTGAAACTCTCCTTGCTGACACTACTTGTGCACGTATTTGCTTTTTCTGTAAGCGAATTAGGGGTGCCATGGACAAGATTAGAATTCAGGATGAATTAATTTAGTAATTGTTAATACTATACCAGGCAATGCGACACGTACATAGCGACATACCTGCTGTCGAATTCGCCAGTCCGCTTAACGCTGAAACACAGAACACGTTCACGATATTAACAAGCGGAGTTAGTAACGTGTTTACATATTCAGCACGTAAACTTTGCCGGAATTTACTTAGCCGTTACTCTGTCCGAAATAAGGTACCCGTCCTGCAATATTGGACATCGCTAAAACATTATTGCTACAGACTCGTCCAACTCGGTTAAAAGATCCAATAAAAACACGAATAACAGGGATCGCGTTAATTTACGTTAAAAAGAGCGTTTAATAACCGTTCTCCTACCGGGTGACATTTACAGGGTGTTCTAGAAATAGAAAATTTATTGTATCCATTGATATTTTAATTATCGAAAGTAAAATGTTACAATAAAATATTAAGATTATGTAGTTTATTTAGTTGTTTTCAGTGAGTGTACAGCTTTTTTCAGTTTAATTGGTTTCTTATTTCTTTTATTTTACAAGAATTATAATTTATATTTTAGGAATGAAAATATTATAATTTGAATTTTTTTTCTTTCATTTGCAGCAATATAATAATATAGTAATTTTAATTGTCATAAATAATTTGTGAATTTAAGAAGTTTACTGTAGTAAATTTACAATACTAAATTGTGATTAATTAATAAATTAATACCATAGTATCGTCAACAAATACTTCGAATTTATTAAAACTTTAATTTTTTAATTTTGGCAGTTAGATATTTGAACACCCTGTATTTTTGTTAAAACCCAGGTAAAACTTCTGCACTCTTCAGCGAATCCCCGTGCTTTGGAATTTCTTTACAACCAATTATTTTACTTTCAAATAATATTTACTATATTACATCAAATTTTATTCATTAACTATTAGCATTAATTGTTGACAGAAAAATCCTCGATAAAAATAAGTTTTTATTTTTTAATTTACTACCTCTCACGTGACAACATTCTTTTGGCGCTGTGGTCGTACGTCACGTGGGAGGTGACAATGATGGAAATTCCAATTCTGGAGAAGTCAAAATTGTGCGATATGGAACGTCATTAATAACAGACAATGAGGATAGACTAGATGGAAAACTACATATCTTGCAACTTGATGCTTAAGGAAAACATAACGATTGCTTAGTATGTTCTAATTGTAAGTTGCTCACACGAAGAAAAGCAACACTATACTTCTGTGAAACGTGCAACATAAAACCATTCCTTCATGTTGAAGACTGTTTGAAAAAGTATCATACATTCAAAACTTACAAATAATTACTTGAAACTCATATATTTGTAATGTACTTTCAAAACAAAAATGTTATTCTTATAATACTGCAGATTTTTCGCATATTTACTGAAATCAGTTACAACCTACTGAGAATCACGTATAAAAAACTAGCGACCGATAAGAGTTACTTTAACGACTATCTTAACAACTATGTCAAAGTCATTGTGGTTGAGTCTCTTTTGTCAATATTTACCGAATTTTCAATCACCGTAAATTTGATCGTCAAGCAGCATCTTTATGTAATAAACAGTAGATTCTCCATTGTATTTACTTCTTTTCGTATGTTGAAATGTAAAGACTTCATCTTTAGTAAATTACTTCATTTATTGTGACATTGGTTATTTTATTAAAATGCATAAACAAATATGTAAATAATATTTCCTCGTATTTATTATGCATAATATAAATGCTTTCTAGCCTTTATCATGCAAGAAAAAGTCGGTTCAATATATTATGTGTCACAGGTGGGTTCGTGAGATTTGCATAAATACGAAGGAGGGCGACAAGACCTTTATTTGTGACTTTTGTTTATTAAATAAATTAGAATAAATTTGCGTATAAGATGAAACGTGCTAAAAGTTTCTGAACAAGTTTTTAGTTAATTAAAATAAGTTAAAATAAGATTATGAAAATTGAAATACCTCAATATTTGGCAAAAATTTTGTTTACTAGTTTTGATGTAATAGAGTTGAAGATTTCAAGTTATACTATATTGTTCATATCTATTAACTAAAATAGGTATTTATATTTGCACTTTAAAAATTTGGCAGATATTTAGCACAATTTATCGTGGAATTACAAAATTTCCAGTTTTCTAAATTTATGAATTAAAAAATTTCTAGATTCCCAAATATCCAAATTTCCAAATTTCCAAATTTTCAAATTTCCAAATTTCCAAATTTCCAAATTTCCAAATTTCCAAATTTCTAAATTTTTAAATTTCCAAATTTTTAAATTCTCAAATTCCCAAATTCCTAAATTCTCAAATTTTCAAATTTCCAAATTTCTAGATTTCTAGATTTTCAAATTACCAAAATATCAAATCACACAATTTCCAATTTTACGGATTTATAAAATTTGAAATTTCCAAATTTTTCAATTCTTTATTCAAATTTTCTCGAATTTTTAAATTCGAAGTATTTAAATCTGGAAATTAAAAAATTGTCAAATTCCCTAACTCTCAAGTTTCTAAATTCCTAAATTCTCAAATTAGCAAGTCATAACATATTCAAATTTAAAAATAAAAAATATTTAAATATTAACATTTCCAAATTATCCAGTTTACAAATTCCTATATTACCAGATGTTTAAAAGTCCAAACTCCTAAATTTTCAAATTTTTCAATTTACAAATTTAACACATAATAATAAAATACCTAAAGTACAGTATTCTACTCATAATTTCATTTATAGTAATTATACACGGTCAACCATTAATTGAGAAAATATGAGTATTTTGAGGCTAACGCTAATCTGTATTGCGGGACGAAACAGGACTATTAACTACAATATTCATCTTCCAAACCAATTTCGTAATAACTTTCATAAATATTAAACGGGCAATTTCCATATTTTCTTGATAGGAAAAGTCGTCCCGAGAGAAAGTGACAAGAAAAGTGATGGACGATGAAGGTAAAATTAATATGTTGGTACAAGGAAATTGGTAAAGTACTAAAAACTCACAAACTTTTACATCTTATTACAATAATAGGATAATTTAAAACGAGTACGTTTATTTAATGTAACTTTCTTATTTTCATTATAGCTAGTAATTTATCGAAATCAACGGAGAAGCTTTAGTAAATTGTATATAAAGTCCCGGGCCATCGAATTAGATTACTACAAATTTTCTGCATTTTTCACGTTTTCCATAAAATTAAAAGGACTATTCAAATTGTTATGATCTTTTCTTCAAATACAATTAAGAATATTCCAAAATGTGTAAGTAAATGATTTTCAGTTAGAAAATTTTTACTATTGCTTTTTGTACAATAATATCAATATTGTCATCTAACAATATGATAATTTTTAGATAATTATTATGTACGTATAATATGATAATTATTAGGTAACAATAAGCAAGATTTTAAAATTCATGGGATTCGCTCAAGACGCCATGATTTAAAGCAGAAGTCAACCTGGGATTAATGCAAAATAAGAGAAACCATTTTTCTATGTTTTCACATCGCAAATCCAACAATTCTTGAACAAATCACACACATATGTGCACACACAACAGTTATAGTCAAACAACTTGCTATTTCTGATTAATTATTAGAATTAATCAACATATCCGAATAAATGTAAAATGTTCCACAAACATGTCATCAGTTAATCGTTCGAGTATATTCTACTTTTTTATTTATAGTAACATCATTTTTATTACTGGATATATGAAACTATTTGCAATGAACTATAATTGCGTATTTTCATTTATTAATAATGATTATTTATAATGATTGTTGTAAATACAATTGAATATACTGTAATATTAAATACATGGATAAGAATATTCTATAACTCAAAATATTTAAATAAAATAATTGAAACAATAAAATCACAAATATTTTATTGCATGATTTTAGACACAGTATACTTTTCACTTTTAATCTCTGAACAGTAATTTTCAGTTATTTTCTTCATACGAAGAAAATCCAGATATTTTCTAAATCGACGTATTCTGAAGAAATTAGATTTTTCACTACAATAGGATGTATCAAATATTTAACTTGGTCAAATTTAATAAATTTCTCAAATGCTTAGTAAACCTCGAAATTTATTAGGAGTAAAAAGTTATTCTATACATTATATCTATTTATAATAATTTCTAAATAAAAGCACTATTTTTTATATTTTTTATATATTTTTTTTTAATATTCAAACATGTCAGACTTTGTTTATATTCTTTTTAGAACAAATAAAAATTGTAATTATTATTCGTACCTAAATGTTATAAATATTGTACTTGATAGTTATAATTTATTTACCTTTCATTTGATTTGTTAATTAATTTTATTTTACTTATTAATTAATTAAATTCTATAAAATTGATAGTTCTGTTTTTCAATTATGTAGTGTGGTTATGAGATTAGATTGTTTCTTTATTTTAATAAGATTTTGATAAAATTAATAAGCTTCGACTTTGGTATTTATTAACATTAAAACTACTAAAGAGTGAAAATGACTAGTTTCAGATTTCGCATTTTATATTAAAAACAATTTGTTACTATACTTTTGTTAAAATGTTTATCATATTTTGTTAAGATAAAGAATGGTTATATATACTACTTGATGCTTTAGTATTTACTTAGTTATTTATTTATTTTCCATTTAAAACTTTGGTGGAATGGCATGTTTGTAAAAAATCGGACAAATTAATTTGATATTAATATTTCAAATTAAAATTCAGTTATGATGTTAAAATTACTATAACTAATATCTTGTATATCAATTCTACAATTTAAAATATATGAAAAATTGAATTTTAATTTTATATATTAATATCATGTTGATTGACTGCAATCAATAAAAAATTACGACACTTTTATAATAAAAACTTCGCACGAATTTCTGTGTATACTGGACGAGGGCTAAAATAATATTTAAAACATTGTTAAAATAAAGAAATAACGTAAGTTTATAACCACATTACTTTTGGTAATTACGCATATAAGAAAGAACGCACTGATTTCACCGATCTTGAAATATGTTGTCCAGATTAACATTTTGAATAATTATGCTTACGTATATGATTACTCCTCGACCTTATATACACAACAGTACACACCACATAGAATATGTTTCAACTATATCTACACCAATGGTGTGTTTTTCTTTAATTTTCGTTAAAATTAATATACAATCTGTATCCGAAATATTGATGTGGGATAAATATTTGGACAGTTAACCAGTTAGCTGTGGCAATCTTTTTGCAAAGAGATGACGAGTTAGCTCTCAAGAATTTATGAATCCATCTCAAATCATTTACACTTTTTATTTGTTTATTTCATTTCATGTTGACCTTTAAACATTTTAAACATTAAAATGTACGAATATAATTTAGTTTAAATTACAATTTAAAAATTACAATTTAAATATCAAATTGTAACAAAATTTTACGCACGACGGATATAGTCGTCATGACACAAAATTCTGCCACATCTCCATGACGGATATAGTCGTCCAGTACATTTAACTGGTTAAGAAGTGGTGGTTTAAAAATATCCATTTTTCATAAATAAATAGAAATTTTTGTTTAACACACTATTGATTCAATATTGATCTTTTTAAGCTTCCAGCTGAACTAGTTATTAAGTACACCACTGAATATTTTTCAACAAATTACTAATAAAAATTACACTTCATCCAACGTCCCGTCATTTCTTAACAACGATGATATTTTATAATTGCTTTAATAAAAATTCATGTTCTCTACTGCATTGATAAATTTAACAAACTATCTTATAGATCGATATATTTTTCTATAAAATTAATTACACCATAAATACGTATTTAATAACTAATCTTATAGAAATTTATAACTATACTCGTTAACACTATGCATATTAAAAACACGATTTTTTAAATAATAACTGAAGTATTTGTGACTGTGATGTTGTAAGATTTTGATTACTAGATCGTTTTAATTATTATTCTGAATAAAATGAAACAGTTGGTCACTAATGGGAACGTTGTTACTAATGGGTGCATTTACCTTTCTCAAGTACACTATATTTCAACATATCACCATTCTCATTTAACCATGTCACTCATGGTGTAATCACTTGAGTGTAGTGGATATACGGTAGTAGGAATATTACGTTGAAATATAGTAGTCTTTAGTCAACAGGCTTCCTTAGGGAAAATATGGTAAGCGACAGTGTAGAGATCTCTCACCCATTGATTCTTAGGGATTTTTCGGGTTTTGAAGGATGCATACAGAATTTGAGGACATTGAGATTTAGATACTTTGAAGTTTGCAAATTTACGAATATGGGGATCTAAGAGTTTTAAGATCTAAAAATTTGGGATATGTGAATTTTAGGTATTTAGGGATATAAAAACTTTGGGATTTTGGCATTTAGAAATATGGGAATTTGGGAATTTGAGATTTGCGAAATTGGTAATGTAGGAATTTGGGGATCTAAGGATTTGGAAGCCTAGGGATTTCAGAGTTTAAATATTTGGAGAACTTGAAAAAATTGAGAAACTGAGGAATTGAGAAATTGAGAAACTGAAAAATTGAGAAATTTAGAAACTGAAAAATTAAAAATTTAAGAAATTGAAAAACTGAATTTTCGAAAACTGTCAACCTTAAGAAAGCTAACATTACACTTCAATGTACTTGAGCGTATTATATTAACACTTTATCTACCGCTAGCCTATTAATCGGCTTTTTGATTTCCAACGCTTATCGACCGGTAGCCTATTTATCGGCTTTTTCATTGCCAATGCTTGTCGACCGGTAGCCTATTAATAGGCTTTTCGATTGCCAACGCTTGTCGAAAAATTGAATTACTGTTACCTTGAATTTATTTTATGAATGTTAGTTTATATGGCCCTTTATTATATAAAATAAATGCAAAATAAAGTATAAATATCAATAAAATTACATTCCTTTAAAACAAAAGGAATAAGCACAACACAATGAATAGCGAAAATTTAGCCGGTACTGGGATTAAGTGCGCGCGCGACTCAGCCGGTACTTAGTGACTGGCAGCCTCAAAAACGATCGGTCAATAAAGTGTTAAGAATATTTTCAAAAATCCAAATCAATATCACAGTACATTATCCCTGACAACATATTTCAAGATCACTGAAATTCATAAACTGTGTTTCTTTTTATATTATTACCTCAGTTTCATATCACACTAGAAAGGCATCACAAATTTAACGGAACCTAATGAATTCCGACGATATAATTTCTGTTCAATACTCGTACGATTAACCGGAAGGAAATTGAGCCAGATATTCGTTCATCAACGCGCATGCTGTTACTTCAAGACTAACATTACGTATGAAGCTAATCTCGGCGAAAGCACGCTATTATCAGGCATTCCCTTACACGAGCGGACACAATGCACGTGAATGGTGCCTCAATTGTTCGTACCACGTCTCTATATCGTGCTGTCGCGAAAGTTTTCGTTACTCACTGTTTGGCGACACCTGAAGATTGCCGTTTCCGCCAGTCATCGCAGCCAGGGTGACTAGGTTCTGCATACTCATGGGTGACACTCCCGCGTTCGCTGTGAACAACAAACACCAGACGATTAAACTATGAATTGCATATGTCACTCACAATAATGGTGGAGTACTTCCAGTTTTATTAGAAACACGTACACTGAGTGTCACTTAAAACCGTATATGTAATGCATCTTTTATTTTCAGGTAAAAATTCAACTTACGAGGGGTACCCCACACAAGTGTTACGCTAACTCATTTATGAAACTTCCCTACAGTCCGACCATCGAATTAAAATCACTTTTTCCAGCATTTTTCATGTTTTCCGTAGAATAACAAAACCTGTTCATATTGCAATTATATTACTTATTAGCTATTAACATGATACATAACATTACACACCCCTTAACCTACAATTTTCAACAAAAATCTAAATTCATTCTTTTATTACTTTTAAGTTAATTTTGTTATGATCCATGTACATAAACTTTTATAATACGTAAAACTTGAGTTGTAATAAAAAGTCTGTACAACTGTTAATTTTTTAACAATTGTTAGTGTAAATTTGTAAACTGTTTGCAAAGTGTTGAACGATAATGTAGTCAGTTTCACCACATTAGTCAATTAAGCGAAAGTTTACTTGTCATTGTTCAAATGAAAAGTTAACAGAATTAACTGTTGAAGTATATTAACATTTCGGTACATGTAATCTATTTGTTTTTAGCGAGTTCTAAGTTACAATGTCAATTTTGTCGTTTGTTTCGTAACTTTCATACGCCATCGCGTTTATTTGTCCTTTATATTTTCTGCTGGTTGTCTTCATGCTAATAAAATTAACGGATTCGGGAAACACGCCAATGCAATGATGGATCACGCATAAGAGATGTCTGCCATTAGCGTCTGCATTAAAATCTGTGTTTATTGCTTATCGACGAGAAACGGACGGTTGATGACGCAGTAAAGCTTAGGTAACTGTGGACTATTTACAAAACGATATACAGCAAGGTCTCGATTATCCGTGTCTCGTTTTAACCAGATTCTGTTTTATCCGGCGTGCTTTGAATTTTACTTTCATAGCGGTATTGATTTTGAAATTCATACGGTTGCTGTTCTTCGACTCGTGTAACAAATATTGGCGTTATAATCGTATCAGTTTGCTGCAATTGGAATGTCGATTTCAAAATATCAATACCATAACTGAATTTGGTCTGATAACAATACGAGAAAATCAATTCATCAGTGTGTTGGGGTAAAAGTAAAAGAACATTACCTTCTAATAAATCAACTTGAAAGTTTTTAACTGAAAATGATAGAAACTTTTCACAAACATTTTTAATTCGAACTAGCTGATTATTATCAGAAATCGATAACTTTATGCTCAATAAGACGGTTATTTAACAATCAACAATTGAGTATTAAGCATATTACCGAAAGTGTAGTAAATAAAAGATCATTACAGAGCAACGTAAGCAACAAAAGATAATTTTACCGCATGGGTTGTAAAATTATGTTAAATACTTTAATAAATTAGGCAACATTCAAACAAAAAATAATGTTAAGAACTAAAATGTGTTTACTGAATACACATTTTATTTAATATAATCCTATTGCAAGTGATGCAAAAATATATATTCAAGTCCCCATTTGGGGATCGTGGTAGCAAATGGATTAAAAATTCGAGTAAGATTTATCACACTTGGACTGTTAGTACATCACTCGTCCAGGGTTTAATGAACGAATTAAGCGAACAGTGCAAACACGAGAACCGAAAAGAACACAAAATAAAAAAATAAAAAGACACTAACCATACTCACCGGCGGTGTTACTCAACGAGGCGAGCGTCGCTAACCCCTGAAGATTCGCAGGGTTGATTTCGGGAGGGCTGGGCAGAGCGGGGGCAGCGGCGTGTGCAGGAGTCGCTGCACCGAGGCCGAGATGTTGTTGCAGTAACAACTGATGTTGCACGCTCGACAAAGCGTTGGCGCCTGCACTCGCTGCAACCGGAGTTGCTGCACTCGTCGTCGCCTGAAGTTGTTGCAGCAGCTGCAACGACGCGGGCGCCAGAGTAGGTGTATCGTTCTGCAAACAAACGAACATTCAGACGTGATTATATGTTTTCCATTTTCAGATGTGATTATGTGTTTTCGCTCGCCTTCGGGTTATCAATCAGGGATACATCTAGAAATACAGGGCTACCTACGTAAACCGACATTGGGGACGCAAACCAAATATGAACATTCAAGTATTTCAACGTTAATGAAATTCAGTTCGTTGGCAGAGATTTACAGTCCCTGGCCATCGAATTAGGACCACGTACGAAAATTTCACTTTTATGGCTATAACATTATGTTATATATGGAAAATTGTCTTAGATCATGCAAATTACTACTAAATACTTTAATAACGATATATATGTACATAGCACCTGATTTGTTACTATCGTGATAATAATGAAATTGTGTGAGCGATGAGCGATTAAGGGCTGTGCGAGCATTTACGTTAGGCTCTGGTATTAAAAGCGCGTGAGGACAAATTTAGTGAATGGAGTTCACTCAAAAGACTCGTTTACAACTCTCCAACCATATTATCTGAGTTGAAAAGAATTACAGATATTTGGGAAAATAATGAAGATATAAAAAGATATAAAAACGAAGGGTAAAAATACAAGATATTAACATGTGCTAATAATGTTATGTACAGTTATTATATATTATGTGAGTAGCTAATAATTTATGTCATCACAATTTGAACAGGCCTTTTAATTTTATGGAAAAATGTAAAAAATGCTGAAAATTGTAGTGGTCCTAATTTTATGGTCGAGGACAGTATTTACTTGAATAATAGTGGCTAAACTATGCGATATATCACTTACATCGACTCATAAACATTGAATATCGGAATTTAGTAATTTTACAATATAGAAATTGAATATTTTGGAACTTGGTGGTAGCTGGGAAAGTGTGCAGTATAGAATTTAAAAAATTTTTGAATCTGACTATTTGAAAATCTACAAACAGAAATTTGAATGTTTGAAGCCTTAGAAACTTAGAAATTTGAAAATTCATGAATTTTAAAATAAGAAGTAGTAATCTTCCAAATGTTTGATATTTATTACTACATTTTCATGTAATCATGTTTGTTCCATACGAATTTATTAAATTTCCTCGTCATTGTCAAAATTTCATTATAACGAGTGAACAGTAAAAATAACTTTTTCTAATTTACATTTCTATTATAATTTATGCAAATCACAGTATTTTAAAAATCTAATTTTAAATATACTATTTTGGAGCAAAAAAGAAATAAAAAGCTGAACTTTTTATATAGAAAAAAAATCTGGAGGTGAAAGTCATACCTATTTAATCAAGTTTTTAAAAATGTATAAAGTTCTAAGCTATACATTTTGATAAACTTACATTAATTTATGCAGATCAATAAATACAATTTATACATGACTGTCCATTCAAAGAAACAGTGGTAGGAACAAGTTGTAGATCTACTTTTACTTCAACAAGTACCAGAAGTGGTAACGGAACGTGTAAGTGCAGAAACGTAGTAGAACATATGAATGAAACAGATGTTCGATCCATTTAATAAAACCTTTTATTTCTCAGATGACTTACACCATTGTAACTTCTACCCCACCTAATATCGAACAGAATTCAAGATTCGATTTCAAAGACTGAAAAGATACGCGTGGTTAAATCACGAATACGTAATACGTCTTTTATACCAAATAATTCGTGTAAAACATTCAATTTGCTTTGCTCCAAAAGAGTTCACTAAGTCATTTAATGTTTATTCTGTTAGAGGGTTGTAATCAAGTGTGGATTTAGAATCTTTTAAGGGCGGAGGACAAAGATGGAATAAAGAATGATTAATTTTCAAAACACAATGAGGGAAAAAATGTAAATTTGTTAGAAAAATTGGACAATTTTAAATTTTCTTTAGGGTGAATTGTTGGAAGAATACCATATGTATTTTACTTTAGGGAGCCCATTTTGGATTTTATATTCATTATAATTAAAAACGTTTTACATCTCTGAGGCCAATAATTTTTATATCCATGTATATTGAGACTTCTTGTTTGTATTAATAAACATTATGTGTTCTTAATTAATTATGGAAGAATAAGGTTATTCTTTATGGGAAAAAGGAATGAAACTGTGGAACAAGATTTTCGAATATAAAGTTTCGACTTATTAATTAATATCGGTATATAAATTATAAGACACGCTTATTTCTTAGAAAATTACTATTATAAAAACATAAAATATTATTTATATGTTACAATATACAACTATGATCGAATATTAGGAAAAAGTATGTTGTTTACGAAACAACATTTCAAATTAAATTAATTTATACGGGAAGTGATATAAAACAAATTATTGAACTGTAAATTTAGGAATCCATTGAACTTTTCACGGTTTACTGAATACTAAATTAAATTAACTTGTACGTAAAAGGATTTTAAAGAAATTTTAGTTATTATTTATTTTAATTATTTAATTATTGTATTGAAATTATTTAAGTATTGTAAACCAGCAATTTATTTAAATGTTCATGGCATTATTTTTAAATAGAATGTATAAACATATAAAACAAGAAAAAAAACATCATATTCTTGCTTAAATAATTTCTTGACAAGTTTGCATTAACTCAAGATCACCTCAAAATAGCACTTGAATTTGATACTGTGCTGCAAGTATTCTTACAAGTATTAATTAACAATGTGTGATAGGTAGTAAAGCAATAAATAATATTACTAATATTCTTAGAACATTATTCATTATATTGCAACAATAGAATGATTTTCCACTGAAAGAATACAAAACAACTTTTCAATGATTTAAAAAATTTTTGTTTTACTTGCATGACCGTATGTTGCATACAAAACGATGCATAATGTTTTATCAAACGACAGATATGTATACACCTGGTAAACATATTGTAAGAATGTTACGAAACTCATAAAGTGGAAGATAAGTTTTGTCGATCAAACAGATAAATAAATACTTATGTCTATTCCTAGGGATATTTATTACAAATTTTATGAGGCCGTAAATTACATTTCAAAGACCACACTACCGTTCTAAAGCATCCAAAGACTTATCTCTACGGATATCACTGAAATATCTTAATAGTATTTTCTGTACATATGTCATGCGTTGTTTTACAAATACTATACAAAGTGTTTTATATATGATATTATATATTGTATTAATTCTATATTAAATTTAATATAAATTACGTATATCAAATTTCATTAACTATTCCTAAAAATAAAAAATGTTATATTAACACAGGATTTCAAAAAGTTCATAAAAAACGTATACCAAGATTCGTGTCCTATTTTTCGTCACAAGAACCGTAGTTTACTGAATTTTTACAAATTCTACGAAGAAACAAGGGCAAAAGTTGTGCAAGAAGTTCGGCAAAGATTATATTTGTGCACAGCCAGTGTTGGAAATTAGTTGGTTACTAAAAACGTAGGTACGGTGTTGGTCAAAGATATTGTTGACATTTTTGGAACGAAGTATTATTTTACTAAATTTCTTAATTACCAAGCTTGAGTTAATTTTGGTAGTATTTTATACGTGTGGGTTGTGTCAGTTTTTCCGTAATACTTTATAAGTATATTCTACGAACAATAGTAAGAAAAAGATGTTGCATAACATATATATGATTTTATACATAACAAAAATACCGAGTGACAATAAACTGCCTTGTTGTTTCATATCACATACAGGAAATTCCAGTTTTGTCCTTAATTACTAGCATATTCTATGAATAAAAATAAGAACGCATAACATAAGTTTTCGAACGTATTATTAAAAGTTATAAAAAAAACATATTTGATAAGATCGGTCGGAAAACATCAGCATGAAGTTATTTTGAAATTTTCTTATCATTTTTTAATAAAGTAAATATTTTGGTAAAGTTTAATTGCAAAAAAACGGGACACTCTGTGTATTATTATTACTGAACAGTATAGATAATATTTGCTAATAAAGTTAATAAAAATGTGATAATGAAAGGTAAAACAATTAAGCGAAAAAGATATAGACATGTAGTACATTTCTGTAATAACAAAATATTAAAAATAAGTAAAAAGAATAAAAGAATAACTAAAAATAATAAAAAGTTAAATGTTCTATAAGTAGAAATAAGAAAATAATGTTGAGTATATATAAGAAATATAAAATTATTAATAAATTTTCATTAAAATATATGTTAATCTTCATCGAGATAAAGAATCATTGTATAAGCTGGGTATTATCCGTTATTTAGGAATTTTTATAGTTTAGTTTCAATTTAAACAAAAGTGGCGATTAAGCGTCCGTAGATTTAGGATTAATAATTCAGATTTTGGGAAACAAAAAGTTGTTTTCGTTTCGCCACTTGAAGTCTTATTTATTTTTATTTTTTCAATAAAGGCAGCCGCAGAATATTTTGCCAAAAGCATACGACAAATGACACTCAATTGCAAACACTAGAAGATAAACATGAAATATTTTGTCCACAGCCTGACATAAACCGTAAGACGCGATGTATCTCGTTCATAGCGTCACATAAGTGACGCTGCAAAACGAGATATCTTGTTTATAGCATTACATTAACATCACGGTGACGATATATCTCGTCCAAAGTCGCAAAATGGTTAATGAAAGTAAAGTAAACTGTTAGAGTTATCATAGTAAAAAGATAATTGCTAAAAATAATATCGTGGTAACGAAAAATCCATTATTAAAACATTAATGTCAGATAAAAATAGAAACTGTTAACACGCTGAACGCCATGCTGAAGTAGTTAACAGTTTTATCAAGGCAGTATTTTCATTTTTAGCAAATGTTTTAATCTACACGATGTTTTGTTATATTTAGTATTGATAATTTTAAGAATTTAATACAAATATTTATAATTAGGTAAGAGAGTAAATTTTTAATAATGTAGGTAGTAGTACAACGCTGATCAAAATTATAAGTTTACAAGTTTTTATCTAGTTTATTGTCATGGATTAAAAAATTTGTTGCTTTTTCTTTTTGTAACAATTCTGTAATTTTCATAAGTATAATGACCGATACGTTATAACGATAGAAATACCATCGAAAATATATAGATAATTTTAGTCGACCGAATTTATAAAGAGAAAATATTCGAGAGTTCAATAATTAAAAAACGTCACTGTTATAATATAAAAAGAAATAAATTTTATTGAAAACCTTGTTAAGAACATTTATTATAAAAAGATTCTAATTATTTAATCGTAATGGAGCAGCAACTGATTATTAAAAATAATTTTTATTATAATAAGTTACAAAGCAAATAATAGTTTTGCAAATGAACTCATAGTTCTCTGTAACTTGCAATAACATTTATTATAAAAAAACAATAATATATTGTCTATCTAAAAATTCCAAAATTTCTACTCATAACATATTTCTACTTTTTTACACATTTCTTCATGATACTGCAAAAGGAGAAAACAATAGTAAGATAAGTAAAAATAAAATGAATTGTTACTTTTGATTTGTAGTGTGCCTGAGTGACCTCAGTGTATCGGTTCGTATTTGGCACCCATGCGCGTACGTGCTGCATATACAGTGGGTAACAAAAGTAAGTAAACACTTAGAACTTGTGGCAAAAAAACATTTGTGTCAAAGCAAATATGTAACTTCAAAAAACAAATTGTATATTTGCTGAAACTACATGAAATAATCTATATAATTATGCCGATAAAATGTTCATTAGTGCTGGATTTCCTCATAATACACGTTCCAAAAGTAAAAGTAGTATTGCCGTTACTATGTGAAGTTGTTACATATTTATTTTTTCTTTAATTTAAGGTTAAGTGAATGACTGATATCGTATTCTTCATTGTATAACACGAATATGCAGTTACAGCAGTGATACTCATCACTGACGGTCGTCTTTTTTGTACGAACGTTTTTCGGATTTCGCGCTAATAATTTTCCGAAACATTTGACACATGTACTCAAAGCATAACACGATTTGTTATCTTTCTTGTGTACCTTTTTCAACTGTAATATATACTGTTTCATTTGATCTGATTAGAATTTTTCTGAAACTCTTAGTCGTTGAAATAAATTAAAAAACATCAGCAGATATCGGCAAGTCTTGGGTTTCTTCTTCACTTTCATTGGCATTTAAACATAATTAAATAATTACAATGTTATCACAATTCATATCATTTTATTCAAGAGAATTTGCAAAATAGTTTGGTATAAAAATAAAATAAATAGAAGCAACTATAAGACTGCGAAACATTTCCAAAGTTGAAAATTTACAATTTTCCTTTAAGTCAAATTTTCTCGAATACGATAACCACTACAAAGAAACAGTTTACGAATTCAGATTCGGCATGAAATAATCTGTAAGTGTCATTCATAAATAAATTGCAAAATTGCAAGTATTAAAAAGTTATCGAGCAATGCCGGTCGTGTTTACTTACTTTCGGAACGTGTATTCGTTGCATACCGTAAATCTTTATTATTTTTTATGAGGAAATCCAGCACTAATGAACATTTTATCGGCATAATTATATAGATTATTTCATGTAGTTTCAGTAGATATACAACTTGTTTTTTGAAGTTACATATTTGCTTCGACACAAATGTTTTTTTGCCAGAAGTTCTAAGTGTTTACTTACTTTTGTTACCCACTGTACATCCTCGCATGTCATACTTTAATTGTGTACTAAATTTAAAAACAGTTGAAATGTGTGTAAATTGGTGTGGTACTTCATTTCAAGTGATAAAAATGAAAACAAAAAAGGAATAATTATTTTACATTGAAAAAATGAGCAAAACTTATCTTGAAATTATGCAATACTTATAACGCAGAACAGTTGATCACAAAATAACGCCAATGTGCTCTCATGATATCATAATCTAGGTACTCTAATAATACTAAAAGTGTTAACCACGAGTTGGACAATGTATGTCAGGCTATTCAGTCCGTAACTGCAAAATAAGCATGCGCTTAGAGAATTATACGAACGAGGGCATCGTAGAAATTTTCAATTGTCGAATTTACCATGAGCCATTTCTTTCAAAGTTTGAAACTCCTAAAATTTCAAAGTTCTGAATTTTCAAAATTCTAAAATACATTTTACTGCATATTGGATATAGAGGTACCAATATATTTTAAGTGTTTAGAATTCGGCACAATGTAACTTGTTAAATGAAAGCTCAGCTTTTAAAATAATTTCCGCATTCATTCGTTACTAAATAAATGAGTTCTGTATAAGTAAACTTATAACTTTTATCCAATATGTGTACAAATAAAATTTTCCATAAAATAACTAATAATTTATTGTGTATACAAAGCAACAATATTATCCATAACCGTAAGTTACCTAAAACTGAAGTGAACTTGTAATTTTGATCAACGTATTTATCATTCTGGCGTATTAAATGGCGTTTTCAAACCTAAAGCGTTTAAAATGGCGTCTTTAAAACTCTAGCATATTAAATGGAGTCTTTAAAACTCTAGCGTATTAAATGGCGGTTTTAAAACTCCAACATATTAAATTTCACTTTAAAATGCTATTTACGAATTTGTCTTTAACAAGTGTTGGACTATTTATGAACGGTAGTAAACATAAATGATGGCAAGCCAAATAAACACAAAGTAACATGAACTTAACCGATCTTTGGCATTATCTTTGGGAACGACGTGTACGCCATGAATTGTTAATGTGCCGCTGGAATATTGGAGGTTAGTAAAATATTAACGGGTTCGAATACGTGATGGACATGGGGTGATTTGCTCTGAAATTTTCATTCGTGTCACGTCGATCACAGATACTCGACGTTTCTATGTTGAAGTTACTCATTATTTAGAACAGTGATTACGGTTTGTTGTTACTTAATACGTAAATATATTATGTGGATATAAAGTTAAGTTGCACTATCAGATAAACATTTTTCATAACTTTTCAAAATAGAAAAGAAGTATATTCCAATAAATATATTATTCACTTTTTTTTCGTATTAGCACTATTGATTACCTTCGCATTATTAATTGCCTTTTAACAGTTAATAGTTAAATTTTTATGCAAATTTTTGTACATCATTAATTATTTTGTAACTGATAACGATTAAGTAAGTAATTAATAGCTATTCACCATTTTCATACTATTAATATTATTATTATCGTTGCATTAATTAATTTTAAATAAAATTACTAATTGTAATTTTTATTTTAAATTTTTCACTGTTTTATCGTCTATCGTTTTTCATTCTAATATTTTTTATTGTCTTTCATTTATTTTTCCATTTTATTACTTTCTCCTGTAACCAACAGTCTTATTCTGTATACTCATCTTGTTCCACAGCTAACACAAAATCAAAAGCAATAAAATTGTAATCTTATTAAGACTTCAAATCCTTCATCGATTTCTTCAAGAAGCTGTAATTTTATCAGATTATAATACTGCATAAGTGGTCAGTGAGTTTTTAAGGAAATTTCATAAAAATCGTCCTCGCGACAAAGGAATCAACGGAAGATTAAAATTTGCATCGAGAAAGAAATTTTTTCGTCAAAAGCAACGAGCGATGTTTATGGCATCTCTCAGTTTTAGATCAAACTTTTTTCCACTGTGATACGCGCAAATGCTTTACAGATGTACGCGAGCGGAATATACGTGCAATTTTTAAGATTCTAGGAAAATAAATTTATGAGAAAGTATTTCATTCACGATGCAAATGGGCTCTTTGATATCGGAGCAAAAAAGGTCGGTTGTGAAATATTAAAAGGTACAGACGGTCAGGTAATGCGGCGCCATGTTGACTCCAGCTATATTCCAAAGATTCGTCTGAAGCTGTTGCATCCTTTTCTGGTCTTTTTCCTTTTGCGTGTCTGCAAATTTCACTACCAATGGTGATGAGCATCCCTGTAAAAAAGACAGAAATATACATGTACTAAACGTTTTTACTTTATGAACAAGATTTAACCCTTTACCATCTGGTGTACCCTCGTTCATGAATCATGAGACACTTGCTACCTTCTTACATTGCTAACGTTTTACTATTACTAACGTTTTACGTTGGAACTAACATCATAATATTAATGTAAATGATTATTTACCGATTTCTTACGTTGTATACAATTTTATATTATTAAAATTGGAAACATATATTGAAATTATAGGAATATGAGAAGTTTGGGAATTCGAGAATTTGGAGATTTGGAATCTTCGAGATTTATAAATTTTGGAATGTAAGAATTTGAAAATTGCAAAATTTTTTAAAATAAGGATTAGGAAAATTTGGTAATTTTTAATTCTGGAATTTCGGTACTTGGACATTTGGAAGAATTTAGAAACTTAAAATTTCAAAATTTTGGAAATATGATAATTTAAATTTAAATATATTAAACCACAATTGAATCGTTTCAGGTGCCTACTTGAAATTTCAGAATTTTGGAAATATGATAATTTAAATTTAAGGATATTTAACCACAATTGAGTCGTTCCAGGTGCCTACGTTCGGTAACAGAACTAAGTTTAAGACTTTAAGTTTGATTAAAACGATCACGCAAATCGTTCATTATCGTTTTTTAGTACGAAATGACTCCTCTTCGAGCTCCCTATCATGTTCTTGAGCTCCGACGAGCACTCATGCCCGATTTACTACTTACTGCCTATATCTGGCTTATATCATATCAATTTGAAACTTATCACGTTCGAAGTCGGGGTAACAGGTGCAGTTCGGTCGAGATAAGGCGAAGTCGTAAGTTAAACTATTAGGAACTGGTGCCGATGCTATTGGACGATCGGATTTCGTGTTCCGTCACGCTCGGACAGTTTTACGACCTTTTTGAACCTCGCCTCCTCGCCGGTATGTGTTTATAAACCCCACTGCACACGATAGTGTTAAAGTTTCGTGAAAATGTCTGCGTATATCACCGAAATTACCTTAGTTTCATGTATTCGAAATTTACAGATTTGCAGATAATTTGTGACCCGAAAACATACACTGTTTTTTGTCGTAAATAGATTATGAAGTCATCTGATTAATTTCGAGATGAAATATATGTATATTTATGTGAAAAATTAATTTTAAAATTATGGAATTCGAAGTAACGTGCGATATTTCTTTGATACCACACTAAATTTGATATAAGCAAAAGTATATTGAAAAGTGAAAAGTTTGCAATATCAGGAATTTTAAATTTGTAAGTAATTCACTAAGTTTTCAAGTTTACAAATTTACAAATTTTCTAATTTTATAAATTTGATGTCAGTTTCATTTTGTAAACAGTTTCGCGGTTTTGTATGTGAAATTTAAGTTAAATATTTATTTTCATGATTGAAAAGAAAATCATTATAATAATTGCGACGAAACATCTTCGTACAAACCTAACAATTAACAAATGTTGTATTGTATAGTTTTTGTCAAATTTCCAATTTTAAGTTTCTGTAATTCCAAATTTCTAAATGTTTGAATTTCTACATTTTTAAATTTTTATATTTTTACATTACTATATTTAAAAATTTTTTAGTTTATAAATTTCTGAGTTCCTAAATTTCTAAATTCTTAAATCGTTAAATTTAAAATCCGGTAAATTTGCAGCTTTGAGAATTTAAAATATGTGGATATTTTTCTACATTTTCAACTTTACCGGATTTTAAATTTAACGATTCTGCAAATTTAGTATATCCTCCATTTTTTAAACAATTTCATGACTTAATATGTGAAATTTCAGCGTACATTTTCGACATTGCAAAGAAAATCGTTATAACAATTTTGGCGAAGCAAGCATTGTTGCACAAACTTAATAATTAATGACGAGCGTCGTAACATATAGTTCTCGTCGAACTATTATACACAAAGGAGAGCACGAACCATGGGGCATGAAATCGTGCTAGTTAAATCGACCACGACGAGCAAGTTCGAGAAACCTGCATCAGGAAATATTCATGATATCAAAATGGAATTGCTGTCGTACCCGCGTGCCTTGGCACGATTTGCTTTCACTGTTCGAAATAGTGCATCGCATAGGCAGCAAACGGAGAGAAACAATTCCCATGGAGTGCATGGAATTTGCTGTGAAGGGTACACCTTAACGCTACACGTTAAATTGCTCCGATACTTCCATTGGAACTTTGTGACTCCGAGTGGAAGGAAACGTTATGATTAATTCGTGGTTGCTAATCGTTCAACTAAATTAAAATATAACTTTTTCTTAATCGAAATAGTCGACGAACACTACAATTATTCTTTCTAGGATTACATTTTATTTTTGATAATCACATGAATATATTTCACTATATTTATTATATTATCAGTGAGAAATTCTTGCAACTTATTAACACATACTAAACAATCAAAAAGTCAAATAACTTTGTTTTTAAATTAAGGAGTGTTTCTTATTTTAAGTTATTTTTGTTAAGATGGTTTTCAAATTTATATCGATCTTTTGTAATTTGAATATTAATTTATATCTTATTATTTATTTATTTATTTTTTAATCTTATTTTTAATTTCAAAGAAAGTATGTATTATAGTGTTGTGCCATAGTGTACATAGTATGTGTATTATACTATATGTAAGATAGTGTTATTAAGTCAGTAGTTTTATAAAAATTGGAAACATACTTTGGCGTGTCGTAAGAGTCAAAGTGATGTTTTAGAAAAAGTGTTTAATCTTTAAATGATAGGTTTTAGATCTATAGTGATCAAGTTGTAATAAGTACACCAACCTATTAATGTAATCAAGAATCTCCAAATCCTTAAGAATAAAATATGATTACATCTCTATCATAAACTCCAAATTGAACGAACCATTTAATCGATCAAATTTCCAAACAACAATCCACGCAATCGACACTTAATATCTATCTCAAGTTTATCAAATTGATGCAGCTATTCCTAAGCGATGACTAGCGCGAAAGACAGCCAAAGAGTCGGTCAGCGAACGTTTTAAGAAAAGAAACGTTGGAGAAGGTGTCGGTGCAAGTTTCGAATTATCGAGGTGTCGACCCGTTCGTCTACTTTGCTCGATTTTGGTTACTGAGAGTTAAATCGGTATATCATCGAGTTGAGACAGCTATGTTAGCCGGGGTCGCGAGTGCACGGACGTTTCTCTTGATGACAGTGGCATCGAGCCAATGTCCAACGACCTCATTGAACTGCTATGAAAAGAAACGAGCCGTGTACACTTAACGAGCTTCCTACTTTTCCTTTCTCTCGTTACACCGGGTCTTTTTTTTACTAGATTGTTTAATTAGAAATTTATGCGAGTGTACCGGCGCGAATCAAAACGTTATCGAAATGTCATATTAGAAAAATGACACGAGATACTTTATAACCACCCCTTTCATCCTGCGGAAATTCGATTTTACTATAAAAAAATACCAGTTGATGTATTTTGATTAATCATATTTACTAACGTATTTGATTTAAATTGCTAAATGTCGTTTTTAAGAAAAAAATAATAGAATGAAAAAATTATCTTCGATACATTGAAGTATTTTTTAAAATTACTGTTATTGTAAATTTCTTAACAAAAATTCTTATTCTTGTGTTACAAGAACTCTTAAGTTCTTATTTTAAGTTTATAACAAGTTAAAATTTGTTATGGATTTCTTGAAAATGTTGATTTTCATTAAGATAAAAAATTAATACGTTGTACATTAATTTATATTTTATCTTTTGTTTATTTGATGCTGAGGAAGGGGAGTAAATACTATTTCATATGTATGAATACGTATTTTGATAATAAATGTCAGATAGACTGTAAATTACATATTGATTCTAATAATTTCTATAGTCATTCAAAAAGGAAGCTTCAAACTCCATTTTTGCGAAGGGAAATCTTGTTCAGAATCACGTCCTCTACCATCCTTTTCCGGGAGTTACACGAGTTGTGAGACACCCTGTAGGCACACACGATTTCTGTAATCTACAATCGATCTTCCACCTCGATTCTTCCGATTATTGTCGGGCGCGTTCGAACCTTTACGAAGTAACTTACATAAGTTGCGTTTCTCTATATTTCAATTTTTTTTTCAACTTCATTTTTCATTTCAAAGTAAGTGAGCTTTTAGTGTTAAAACTACAAAAAAAATTACTATGAGTTCAGTTCTCATTGTTTAAATTTAAAAAATTGTGGAAATAAAAGAATTTGTCAGAAGAAAGTAAAGAAATGCTGTTTTAAACAGAAACGTGTAATACGCATGCGCGCGATACATTCAACGCATGTACATGATACACAGCGCATGCGTATTAAGAACATACACATACACTTTATAACAGAAAATATTTTCTTTACTTTTTTTTCATAAATACTTTAACCTTAACAATATTTGAAACTTAAACAAATAGAACTACATTTGCATTAATTTTTGGCACTATGAGAAATCTAAAACAATCGTTAGTTTAAGAAATATGATCACCTTAATGTGGCAATGAAACATTGCTAATTCTATTTTTGTCAAAAACGAAATCGAAGAAATTTAAATCTGTTGGAAATGCAATTCACTACGGTTTTCCTCGCAGATAATTTCGGCATAATCGAGTTGTGCCTTCTTAATTATTTTTGTCAATGTATGAACATATTAACAACAGTTTTGTTTTTGTCAGCTCACTCTTGTTTTTCAATCGCCATGTTCTACACGTTTATGTTAAGATAAAGTTTTATATCAAGATATTTGTGTTCTTTATTCGGTATTTTAAAACTCGCTGCCTGCTCCTTTTTCAATAAAATCAAATATGTAGACGAATATAGTTTATGAAAATAAGTATATCGATTAGTACATTTGTCAGTGTAAAAATGGCATTTTTGTAGGCTAGGAAGGGATATGTACGGTACAACAGAGGCTTATACAATACAATCATATATTGGAACAATCTTTACAATATAATCTTATGAGGTTATTTCTATCTTTTGTTTTCGTAAAATGCAAGGACAAGGGTATAAATGAAAATTTCTATTTTAGATATTCGTTAATGAACAATACTAGGCTGAAAATTGATTGGTCCAAAGTTTATTCTAATGGACCGCTATCCATTTTATATCGAACATATTGATAAAATGTCTACATAATTATTTTCATGAAATATTGAGATTCAAACTGTTATGCCGTAATTACTACTCTATAGTAGAGGAGAGTGGGTAGTTTTGAGCTAATTTTCAATTAATTTCCAGAATTGATCATAATTATAATTGCAGTGAAATTTCAATTCATTGTTTCACGAATAATCGTTTTCCGGTACGGGTCGCTTGTTTCGTCTCTTTTCGAATAATGCAGTCCCGAGTCACATGTTTCTGCATTTGTCATTTAAATTCAATAATTATCGAAAAAAGCAACAGAGATTTACCGTAGTACTTTACTTACACTTACTTCGTTCTTCTAAACTGTTAAAAAAATGACAGTTGATTGCAAAAAATTAGTTATTTAACATTTAATTTAAATTTATGGAAAGCTCTAGGTTGCGTTTATTTAATTTTAATTAAAAAGCAATATATGCATGGTGTTTCAGAATAAATGTAAATTGATGTAATTATTTATTTAATGCTTCTATTACCATGATCTTGAACAATTAAAGGAAAAAATTCTTTTACAATAAAATTTTGTATAAAAATGAACATACAAACATCCAACATTTTTTCCTGTCACCTATTGTTTAGTAGTTAAATTAAACAGTATTTATTGGGAGAGACTCTATGTTAATTACCTATAAATTAGAAATACTTTATGGTAAATACACTAAACATTAGATATGAAGATCCATAGTTATATCCATAACCAAATATTGAAATACTGGCAGTTTTCAAAATTATTAAAGCAAATAATACTTTGTATCTAAGTTTAGAACTCTTATAAAAACAGTTGCTTCAAAATGATATTATTTTGACTGTTCTTAAAATAACACCTACAAAATTCTGTTAAAATGCCGTTAAAATTGAGTTATTTAATCGATTTCAGTAAAGACTAAATACATAATGTTCAGATGAAACATTAACAAGCTGTTTTTAGTCAGATTAACTTGAGTTTAGTTTGAAACCATAATCTCCTAAATATAAGACCTTACGTCTGCCCATGGTGGTTTTAGACGAGATAAGCTTCCAGGTAGCGATGATTGAAATGCTATATGTATATCTAACATAAGTAGAGGATGACATACTACGTTATACTATAGTCTGCTTACTATGTATCACCTCCTATCTCTTTTTGCACATTTTTGTTAGAGAACAGGATGACACCAGTATAGGGAGATAAGTGCTCTCAATATAGGATAATGTATTATAATGCTAACATTTTGACTATGGTTCTTTCTTCAAGGATTTTTGTATTATTCCTCCAATTTAAAAATTTATAGCAAGCATTATAAGAACATTAGTTTACATTAAGCTATTAAAACTAACTCAATCATCTTTTCATAACTTTGAAAAGAACAAAATGTAATTAAATTTGTAACAATACGTATTTTCTTATTTTTAATAACATTTATAGTACCTGCATTTGATCAGGATTCAATTGTTTTTTCTTTGCAGACATTTTATTTTAGGTAATTATATGTTTATAATTTGAAATATAGGGATTTAGGATAAAGGGATTTGGTAATCTGGGGATTTGGGAATCTAGGAATTTGGGAATCTAGGGATTTGAGAACCTAAGAATTTGCAGATCTAGATATTTGGAGATTTAGGAATTTGGGAATTCCAGAATTTGTAAATTTTAAACATATAGAAGTTAGGAAATTTGAAAATTACTAAATTTGAAAATTTAAATATGTGAAAATACAAAGATTTTAGAATGAAAATTCTCAAATGTAGACATGTACTCCTATCCGAAAGAAGCCTATCTTGCTATTATTTGATCAAATTTTGGATCTTCTCATATTCAAAACTTTTTTCTACTCCAGTTTCTAGTGATAAATAAAATTAAATATTTAAATTCAATATTTTTTTTTCTAAAAAAAATCGCTTATCCCAATTTTCCAATTTCAGTAATTAAATATTTGTTTAAGTATCTCGGACACCAATATGGCTGGCAAGGGTTAAAATAAGAAAAGTGAAATCTGTTATTTTAATGTACTTGCTTGTTCTAGAGTTGAGTAGTGGTGACAAGCGAGAAAATCGTGTTTCGAGTCTACTTACCTCCATCGTCTGCGAATGATGAAGAGCTTTAATGGCGTTTATGGCGTACTGTTTACTAGCGAAGGTAACGAAGGCACAGGCTTTACTTTTTCCGGTGCTGTCCCTCAGCACCGAACACTCTTCGATGGTTCCATAGACACTAAACATGTTTCTAACGTCATTTTCAGTGAACTTCTTCGACAGCATGCCAACGAACAGCTTGCGTTCTGCAACAAAGAAATTTTAACGTCGTTAGCACACTGCTTAGTCAGTTCCATCACACTTTTTTCTACTTTAATACTACGTTATACCTACATTGTAACTAGCACTTCGAATATATTTATAAAACAAATATGCAAGACATGTACATTGGTATGCACTGAAAATGTGTAAATATTTAAAATGAAAATGTATAAATATGTACTAAAAAAAGAGTGAAATATGTATTTTTCTATACTGTTGTTTAATAAGCTATGCATGTATCATATATAACAATAATTTCTGCAACTATTGTAAGATTGTGATAGGTAGCATAAATTGAAGAACTCATAGGCACTGATATGTGTATTGCATACAATATGAAATTTGAAAATTTAGATATTTAGAAGCTTAGATATTTAGAACTTTATGAATTTATGTATTAAAAAATTTTGAAAATTATAAAACTTAAGGATTTATAAACTTAGAAATTTAGAAATATATGTCTTAGAAATTATGAATGAACTAAAATATGCGAAGTTTATTTTTGTTTATTAAACTGAATGTATTATACAAATACGATTATACCGGCATAAACGTCGTCTGATGCCGTCATACCGGATGTAATATAATAAAAATAAAAATACCAGTATTTTGCCCGCACTTCCTATCCGTCAAATTATACCGATCAATTAAACTCGAACAGACGACTATCAGAGAAGTCATTGACCGCAATCAATTATGCCTACTATGCCTATTATCTATAATTATATAGATAATGTTGATAATTTTCAAGAAAATTGAAGTCTCTATTTAGAATTATTAATTTAAAAATAATCATTTTATAAATCAGTACTTTACTAATTGATACAACTTAGAAAGCAATATTGATTATAAGAAATTTAATTCTTTGTTTTATAATTTATTAATTGCGAGAGAATTATTTGAATAATTTGTGAGTAAAAATTTCAAGCTTTTTATGTGCTTTATGAACGGTTTATTTATTTTCATCATTATTTCCAGTAGCAACTTTTATTATTATATGTTAACCATATTTTATTATTTATATATTTCTACTATAAAGCAATTATTTTGGAAGCACCTACTGACAAATAACTATTAACTTTAATTTAAGTTGTGACTTGTAATTTAATTGTCTGATTCGTAATTTAAGTAGTAACAACTAACAATTATTATTCTAATAAAATCATCTGGAATAAATATTCAAAACCTAAAACAATGTTATTAATACCACCTATGATTATTACTAAAATAAATTGTAATTATTAGTAACTATTGATTTAAAAAAATAATTGCGTACTTTGCTTAAATTTGATTTTTGTGAAGAGTAATTCTCAATTATGAAGCTTCTAATTTGACATCTAATTGTAAGTGGCGCAAATTTGATCATGCTATTTTCGTGCAGTACACCTTGTGTAATCTGAATGCTGTCAATATGTCAAATTTAAAGCTTCATATATTAGAAATGACTTGAAAAAATGCTGACATGAATAGCATTTCGAAAACATCCTGACGAGGGCTACAAGAATATGCAACAAAAATGGGGACTTTTATTTCAGAAACTATAGATGACGTTCAAATGACTTTCCAACGACCGTCCAAGGTCAAAATGCTATCACCATCTTATGTCTTCCTTGATATCCTACAAATATTTTTCCATATTTCTTTTGTCTCAAATATTTTTCCACATTTCAAACCGCTTTCGAAATATAAGAGTGGGGTCTGACTTTGGAGATACCCTATAAAAATGTTGAACTAACGGATTTCCACATTCAATATCGTTACATTTTGTTTATATTATTAAATTTCGCTTTAGGGTAATTGTTAAAGACTTATCGTAGATTATTTAGTTTATTTAGTTTTAAAGTGAAAATTGTGTAAGTATGGGTTATGTGTGAGTGAATGTAAAATAACCATGGTTATTCGTTGTGCGAAATATTGCGAATTGCGAATATTATATTGTAAAAGCGAATGTAGAGTTAAGTTTATTTTGTATCGAAGAGCGAAGTAAGAGCGAGCGAGATAGCATTAGTAAACTTCTTAGAAACGATGCCTAGCTGGCGATCTCCTTGCGTACACAGGGGTGCTTCGGCAAACCTGGGGCCGTTCAGGCCAACGGCTAGGGGAGGTACTGTATGTATCGCCCTGAGGCTGGTACTGGTAGTCCCACAGTAAGAGATGTCGAAAATCTCCGGTAATAAGGGACAGTGGACGGAGAACCGCTTGGCGGGACCTTTAGGCTGGTCTAGGAGGAAAGCTGCTATGGTAGATAAGGGTAGAATTCCAGGAAAATCGGAAAGGCCCGAGCGCGTCGCGAACATTGCTCGAGCAAGGACCGAATATTCATTATAAATTTGTCTGTTGAACAAGCAAGACCTATTTCGCTCGCGCTTACACGAAATATTGTATTTGCAAATTGATTATAATTTACTGGTTTTGTTCGTCGATTACGGGTAATATTTTTACGTTCTATAAATACTATAACTGTCATCTTTAATTTTCATCTAAGAATTTGTACAATTTGTATTTAAATTATTTATATAAAATTATTAACCAATCCCGATTTTGCTTTCGTTTATTCAATGTTAGTTTATCAATTAACAGTAATATTGTTATGCTTCTTATTTAATAAAAATAAGTAACTCTAAATCTTGTTTCATTTTCTGCATAAAATTACACTCGTAAATCCGTTGCTGATCAACCATGAAGCATACACTTGACTTTGTTTTTATCCAAGAATTATTATTGAAAGGATCAAGAAGTTCTCCTCATTTTCAAATCAAATTCCACAAGTTTCAAAAGGAATTTGTTATTTCTTTGGAAACTTGTCATTTTCTTGTCATTTAAAACATTTTTGATAGCACTATTTCAAACAAACCGAAGAGTAAAATTGCAACCGTTTTAGAAGCTCCATAAATTTAAGGAACAGATCAAAATAACGCATCATAGATTTCTTCATTTCAATTACTGTAATTGAGATGTTTCTAACGAAACGTAGTCGAATTTGTGCGTTTTTAGCTTTGTCGGTACTAAGATTGTCGTTAGAAAAAGAAGGCAAGACAGGAAAGAAAGGATTTTGTTTCCAAAATTCCTAAATCTCTACATTCCAAAACTCTAAATTCCTAGGATCCCACATTCTTAAATTCTGAATTCTCTAGAGCACCAAACGACAAACCTGGACACAATTAGCAAAGCTATTACCACCAACTACTTACTGAACAACTGAACACCGACTAATTGTAAGTACATAATATAGTATCTTATTTCGACCATATTATTCTGAAATGTCCTCAGGACAAATTTGAGCCGTTGAAAGCATCTTTGTATTGACTTTTCCCATGATAAAAAACCTAGTACATATTTTAACTCTTTGCACTCAGAGATTTATTTTCCCATTAAAATGACCCCTCGTCGGGGACAGCCAAGTATACAGGGTTAAACGCGCCCACTCATTCGGTAAAACCTCACACCTTCATCAAACTATTTCAGTTAGCTTGCATTTCCGTATAAAGATTTTTGTAAAAATATTGAGCATCGGAATCTAATAATATTTATCGAATACTATCCGATTGCGCAATAAAAATTAAAACAATGGTGTCCCAAGACAGTATAACCCAAGTGACAGTAGAAAAACGTGGAGTGACCGGTAGCCTTCCTATTTTTCTTTGCAAAGGAAGCCTGAAAATATTAACGCGAGGAAAGACAACGCGTGAGTGGCGAGGTTCGAAAAAGAGGATGAAGAAAGGGGTGAATGCAGAAGCTGAAAGGGTGGGAGGAATAGATAGAGATATTCGGAGATACAGAGGGGGTTGGTTTGCGTCACTGTATGAGACTCCGGGCTGCGACGTTGAATTTACATAAGCGGCTTTTCTCTGGGCGAAGCTTTTCTCTTGGTCCTAAACAAATATTGACCGGGCCATTTCCGTCTCTCCTCGCCACTTGTCGTCGTCAAATGGTCCGTAGCTGACCAGGTACATTAGACGCGAACGCTTATTACGCGGAAAAACAACAAGAGACAAACAGCATCGAGCATCAATTCCAGTTAACTTCTGAATGGAAATGGAATTCAATTGAAATTAACGCTTTAGCTGGCTCGCGAAAAGAACAGAGACAAAGGGGAAATGGAAGAACGAGTTTCAATACCGTTAATATTATGCTAATGACGCGATGCATCATACTGCAAGATTAAATTGAAAAATTTAATAATCGGTTTTAGTGCACGATACGGTACTGTACGTGGTCATTTTCACTGCGGATTTAATGATGTAATGATACGCGTTAATGAATTGGTCTTTAAAATTCTGACGTATTCATCGTATTATACACGTTGTTCGAATCGATGCGGGTTGTATGGGGTATTCTATATTTCAGACTGTGTTTCGAATTCCAGACACAGATATTTGAAAAATATTTGACTACTTTTTATTGTGAAACTTTAACATTTTTAAATTTGCTAATTCAAAAATTTATAGTTTTTCGAACTTTTATATTCGAAGGTGAAAATTAAAATTAAATTTTAATGTTTAGGAATTTTTAAATCGACAAATTTGCAAATGTTTAGGAACTTTTAAATTGACAAATTTTCAAACGTTTAAACTTTCAAAGTTCAAAATTACCAAACTCTCAATTCATACATTTGTAAATCTTCAAACTTCTAAATTTTTAAATTCCTAAATTCGTAAATTTCCCAATTTCGAAATTTCTCAATTCCTTAAATTTAATTTTAATTCTAAATTAAAAAATTTCTAAACTTTACACTCTAGAAAAATTTGCTCCGTCAGTCCAGCACTTAATAATATAATCATTATTAATTCAGGGATTGCACCTAACTGATTAAATGTTTTCTGTGTAGGTATGAACGTTTTGTAATAATACCGAATAGGAATAAAGAATTAAATATATAATGTGTATTTAAAGCAACTGTATAGTATTAACCAGCTTGGCCTATGCAACTGGATCAAATTGTAGGTCGAAAAAGGTAAAAAATGAAAGATGTTTTGATTACGCA